CATCCCAACAGGGAGGCAGAGCAAGTTCTTTTACCTCCAGGTGAAGGGGGGGCTTTTATACAGAGGAACCGGGTCACAGAGCAGGCAAAGTGCCCCCAGCTTCAAGGTCACCTCTGTCCCTCCCCAGCTTCAGTGGGGACCAGAAGGGGAGGGTCCTTCACCAAAGAAGTGGGTGGGGAGCTCAGCACTGGGGACTGATTGCCAGAGGGGTCCTCACAGCCCACAGTTCCTCGTGGCAGGCAAGGCCTTTCTCATCCAGCCACAGGGGAGAGAGCTGTCTGTCCAGCTCCCCAGGCTACACAGCTGTGTCCCCAGGACATATCTTGGTGTCTTCAGCTGTCCCAGAAAGATGGTCACGGAGCCCTCCTCAGGGGTAGCTGGGTGTCACCCTGACCGTCATCAGAGTGGACTCTGGCAGGGCCAGGGTGGCTCCCCACGTTGAGGCTGACCACAGGGTAGCTTCAGCTGTGCAAGGCCACAAGGGACAGGCATTCATGGGGGGGTCTTCAAGCAGAGAAACTCCCCTGCTGCTTCCAGTTAACTTGATACCTTTCAAAGGAAGCTTGGTGCCCAAATTCACTGTTGTGTTAAAGTCAAGGTCTGCAGCAAGAGCTGTTTAAGGAGACCACCTGGTGACCTGAGGGAGTCCCGGACCCCTGGGGGAATTTTACCAACGAGCACCACCAAGACCCCTTCCAACCTGGCTGCCTTCACCTCTGCAGGCATCTACAGGCCTTGAGGCCCTCACGCTTGGATTTCTGTATGGTTAGACACTCAAGGGACATCTTTGACGAGGGGAGCGTGGCACTGCTGACCCTCAGCTCCATCCCAGAGGGATATCCCTGCTGGAAGAACCACAGTGCTGCCCAGCCATAGCTCTCCTGACATGCCTGAGTCCTCAGTGGAATGAGGGTAACATTTCTCTCCAGAACCCACCTGGCCTGTAGGGTTCTCCCCTCCCCAGCCCACCTTACGGGCCCACCAGACAGGGATGTGAAACTGCATGGAATTCTCCTGCCTTTAAACACCCAGAGAATGCATCCCAGGTGCTGAGCTGAGGTTACTCAGAACCCCAGACCCCTCTGAGCTTACGGGTGCTTTGTTTCTTACACAGTGTATCTGATCTGACATGCAGCCCACGGAGGGCCTTCTTAAAGGGTCTCTCTTTGTAAGTGACTTCTCTGAACTGGAGGGGAAGGACCGGACATCCTCTGGTTCCATTGATACAAACAGTAAATGTCCGACTGCAAATGCTCACTCTTACTCTCCTGGCAGGTTTGGGCTTTAGTTTCAGACACACTGGCCAGCAGCTTCTTATTCCCATCTTAGTGGCAAAGGTGTCACTCCCTGGAGACACTTGAAATGGGGTTTGGTTGGAATCATTTCATCTCTTCAAGTCGAGCCAATGGTTATAAAGCCAGACATTATTGCCCACTCATTAACTCCCTTGTTAGGGCTTTACCTTTGGGCAGAGATCCCCCGCCAGCCAGTCCAAAGTATGAGAGTGATGTGACTTCATGTACACAGTTGGGTCACCTCTAGACCCTGGACAAGCCCCTTCTCACATCTGCTGAGAAGGGAGTCCAGTTGGCTGTCCCCGCCTGCAGGTAGGAGGGTCAAATTCTGCTTTGCCCCTTACTCCATCTTCCATAAAACCTTTCCCAGATGACCCCAGCTCACAATGGCCCCTCCCTTCTCTGAGCCGTGGAGCTCATTGTCTCCAGCTGTGCCACTTGCCTCTGCTATGGGACCAAACAGCACGCTGGTCCTCATGCCGAGCTCTGCAGAGTACGGGGGGGCTAGGGTCAGATCTCATGGGTCCTGAGGGGATAAGGTGAGAGGAGGCACAGCTGGCCCAGACAGCCCACTCCCTCCAGCCAGATCTCACTCATTAGACACCCAACCTAGGTTCCAATCCCCTCTCAGGCACTTATTGGCTGGGTGACCCTGAGAAAATGACTTAACCTTTCTGAACCTCAGTTTCCTCATCTGCAAAATGGGCACTATGATAATAGATACCTCAGGGTATGATTCAGTGAATGAATGAAGCAATGTGTTTAGCACAGGACCTAACTAGAGTTAGCCTTCGATATATGTAAACCATTGTTACCAATTAAATTATTTTTATAGGTTTTAAATATTGGGTCTGTGAATAAATTTCATTTGGAGGAGAAAAGTTTGCTACTAAAACAAACAAACGAAACAAGGAGAAAGAAGCTTTGAAAGCCATTGAATTTCGGCCAGCCCATTTTGTACTTTACCACGTACAGTACAACCGAGAGGCCTAAGAACTTTTCTGTTAGAATATTATGCCTTATATTATATCATTTCTGTCTTACTGGAGAAAAGGTATTTTGAGGTCAAAACCACACTGGCTCCATCTCTTTTTTCCTTTTTTTTTTCTCTTTCTTTTTTTTTTTTTTTTTTTTTTTGAGACAGGGTCTCACCCTGTTGCCCAGGCTAGAGTGCAGTTAATGTGATCATGACTCACTGCAGCCTCGACCTCTTGGGCTCAGGGAAGCCTCCCGCCTCAGCCTCCCAAGTAGCTGAGACTACAGGCAAGCCGCCATGTTTGGCTAATTTTTTTTTTTTTTTGGTAGAGATAGGCCGTCACTATGTCGCCCAGGCTGGTTCAAACTCTTGGCCTCAAGCAATCCTCTTGCCTTGGCCTCCCAAAGTGCTGGGATTACAGGCGTGAGCCACTGAGTCCTGCCTGGCTTCATCTTCTTCTTTTAATTCTGCCCCTGCCCGGCACCAGGCTGTGCCTGTGCTGGGTAAGGGTGGGTCCTCCCTAGGTGGAAACAAAGGCAGAACCCTGCAGAGTGCACACAGGTGGGCAACTCAGGTCCCCCTTCGAACCGCTCTGTTTCTCCCCGTGGCCCACCCTGCTGACATCTCTATCTGGTCCTTGCTGACTCGCACCAGGCTCAAGGTCGTATCCTGGCACAACACGTTGTATCGTCTTGCTCATGAACAGACAGCCAGCACCAGCTCTGTGCCAGGCCTTGGGCCCTCCTGGACTGTGGGGGGCCAAGCCATCAGCTCTCCTTCCTGAAGCAGATTTGCCCAGGGCCTCAGGATTTATTCTGATATTCAGTTGCTCTGAAGTAGCCTGGAGGTACGGGTTCCCAAGAGACTCAGCTGCCAGAATTCCCAAGAAAGTTCTCTAAGTCTTAGAAGCACAAGCCCCCAGTTGTCGATGCCCAAATCTCAAAGGACCCTTTGGGCATCTCTGGGGCAGTTCCTTCCTGTTTCAGAGGGTGAGACGGAGGCATAAAATGGCCAAGGTCAGAGGCCGGGCTAGACCTCAGGCTCCTGGCTCTTGGCCTGGGGCTCCTCCCATGACATCAAGCATCTTTTCTGCAAAAGTTGTGACCCCGTGCTCTGTGGGTTGCTCTTCTGTGTCTCCTGGGGCAGAGTGGGAAGGCAGGTCGGAGAGAGCAGCCGCTACCCAGGCTGCTGATGGTAACTGGGAAATGTGCTCTGAGCCTGCTGTTTGGTGGGAGTGGCTTGGCCTGCACTTGGGTAAGCGGTGTTCACTGTCACAGCAGCTTGCATCCGTACCACAGGCTGCCCCCCAAGAAGCTGAAGCCTCTCAGGCCTGGCTCAGTGGGGAGACCCTGAGGGCAGGAGTGAGCCTCAGAGAGGGCTGGGCCTAGAAAAGAAATAAAGAAGGAAGGAAGGGATTTGGACATTCAGGACCGTGGGGAACAGAAAACAAGCCACTGATTTCATTCACCAAGGACAGGCCAGCTGCCGCCTCGGGCGTCCCCTCCACCCCCGGGGATTGACACCTCCCCGCCCTGAGAAACCATCCGGTGGACTTAGCAAATCAGCCCCATAGGGAAGAGGAGGCAAGGCTTTCAGATTTCAGCATCCTTCTGGGAGAGAGCTGTGTCCACACCCTATCTTTCTGAGCCCACTCCCAGCAATTTTCTCCATTATCCCTGTAATTTATTAAAAACCCATCTCAAGGCCCAGCTGGTGAGTCAGCCCCTGGGAACAACTGGCAGAGGGTGAATGGTAGGAGGAGGGGACGGGGTAGGGTGAAGCCTGCCCTGGGTGGAGCTGCCTTCCAGATGCGGCTGCCACTCCTGGGTAGGACACAGCAACTCTTGGAAATGTCCTTTCAAACTTAAAATACTCAGGCCAGCAGCTTAACCTAGAAAGAGAAAGAAACAATGGGGGTGATGTTTGTTTCGTGCTGGCTACTACGGCCAGATCTGGGCCAAATGCCTTACCTGAAGTTTTTATTGATTTGCTCCGAGAGAAACTCCTATTCCCGATCATCTTCCCGACAAGAGTGAGGCTGAGCAGTTAAGACCAAGGCCACAGCTGTGAGTTACAGATCTGGGATTCAAACCCAGGCCTGCAGCTCCAGGGCTACAGCTCCCCTCCCCTCCTGACCCCCTCCTCCCTCCTGAGCCTGCCTGTCCACCTGGGCCTGATCCAAACCCTTTCACACATGAACCTCGAGGCTGGGCAGGTGTTCATCTTCTGTTTTGCCCTCGGAGGACAGAAGCCCAGCACGGCCAAGGTGCGTCACCAAGCCTGCTGGGGGCTTAATGATGGGCTGGGTCATGCTGCACAGCCCCTTATGGTTGGGAGCATTTGCACACCTTGTCAGCTCTGACTACATGCCCAGGCCATGGGGACTGTCATTATCAATGTTATGCAGATGAGGAATGAGGCTCAGAGAAGCCAAGTGACTTCCATGAGGTCACACAGCCTGTAAGTGGCACAGCCAGAAGTCTCACCCTGAACCTGGGCTCATTCATCAGCTTCCAGCTCAGCCACCTCCTCAGATCACCAGTGTCCAGGCAGCCCTGAGCCAGGTGCAGGCTGGAGGGGGCAGCCAGTCACACGCTGGGGCAGACACGGGCTGCCAGGTACACCAGCACCTGGAGCCTGGCTGATTCTTGGCCCAACACCTGTGGGCAAACCTGGCCGCACTGCTGCTGGCTCCTCACTGACCACCTCCCTTCCCTTCCTTCTTCCAGTCCCCTGTTTTCATAGCCCAAGTTGGCCGAGACCTGGTCTCCGAGACGGAGGAGAAGCTCCTGCAGAAGCCGTGCAAAGAACTCTTTTCTGCCTGTGCACAGTAAGTGCCCCAGCCACCTGGCCTGTCCTCCCTGGGCTGCCCAGAGATGGGATGCCACAGCTCTCCACCTGACCGTACAGGGCACTGAGGCAGGTCTTCCATCTTCCGTGCCTGACAGCTTCAGCCAAGTTATACCAACTGTTTGTATACTTCCCATGAAGAGAAAAAGATACCGAGATGCCAAGTCCAAAGAAAACATCTGCTGCTAAGGGTGTTGAAAGCAAGTGGCTCTCCAGGCTGTTGAGACAGAGGAATGTGCAAACATTTGACCCTGTCTGGGTGGTTTGGAGATCTTTCCCAGGGTCCTCCACCCCCACCACCACCACCAACCAGAGCCAGTGCTACTGATGCAGGGAGCGCTTCTCAGCTGAACCCTGTCACCTTGTCTGCAGGTAGCACATCTACCCCGCAGGGGGTGAGACAAGTCGATGGCCATGCTGCCAGCAGAGTACCAACTAAACCCCACCCCATCCTGCACACACATACACTGAAGGCATGAGCACCGAGGAGCACACACAAGTACAAACACACACACACAAGTGCACACACACTTACTGACACAGGTGCACACACACACATGCTCGTGCAAGCTCTCCAAAGCCAGGTTACCCCACGTAGCTGGATGAGCCTAGAGGCCTTTCGTGTGCCCTTATTCAGTACCACAGACATCAATTGAGTACCTACTGTGTACCTGGCACTGTGCTGGGTGCTAGGGGATACCAAGGTGAACAAGAACCCAGTCCTGGCTTTCATGGAGTTTACACAAGAAAAATAGCAACCTGCATACACTTAGAGGGGAGCTGGGAGGGCTGTCCTGGGACTAAGCCCTGGGTTAGGTGCTGGGGAGAGGCCCTGGTGGACAGAGCAAGCTTGGTTGCTGCTCTCTTAGAGCTGCTCAGGAGTCAGATCTGACAGTGGGTGGGGTCTTGGTTGGTGACCCTGACCCTGAGGGAATGGCCATCTTGGCTCCCAACGATGGCTTTCAGGTTTGTCAGGACACAGCCTCTGACGTGCACCACCTGCTGTAGTCCCCTCCCTTGCCCAGGCCCCAAGTGCCTGTGCTAGATTACTCAGCGTGGCCACTTTCTAAAGGAAAGAAGCTACCTGCAGGCAGCTTCAGAACCTGCCCTGATGGCCTAAGATCCATAGAGATCCACGGCATCCCAGGGCTCAACCTGGCACCTGGCCCACAGCGGGTGACCAGTAAATTCCGCTGCATGCATAAAAAACTCCCAGTGGCTTTGCTAGTCCAAGACCAGATTCAGAGCTGAAGTTCTGAGGGGCTGTGGCCCCACCCTTCCCCCAACCACCTACCATCCCTGATTCCCAGCCCCTCCCTGCACCTCATTAAGTCTTCATCTGTTCTCAGCTTAAGGTCCCTTCTTCAGAGAGACCCCTCTACCCTCACAGTCCCCCCAAACTCATTCATGATGACATACCTCTGGGATTGTTTATTTCATGTTTGCTATTCGCTGTTTGTGTCCCACATACAATGCCAACCCTTTGCACCCAGCTGTATGCCAGGACCTAGAACAGTACCCAACACATGGCAGGTGCCCAACAAGTGTTGGCAGGACCAACCAGGTTCACACAACGCTCAGTAGAATGGCAGGACCTCTGGCCAGACGTGCTGCGTCTGCATGGGTTGAGAGTCCTGTTTGCTTGCATTTCCAAAGCTGGATACAGCTTTGCCTCCGTGCTTGAAGATCGGGATTACAAAATGTTCATCCTCTTGTTCTATCTGCGCCAGGTCTGTCCACGAGTACCTGAGGGGAGAACCATTCCACGAATATCTGGACAGCATGTATTTTGACCGCTTTCTCCAGTGGAAGTGGTTGGAAAGGTGAGTCCACAACACCCCATACAGATCAGGGAGGCAGAGGGTACACATTTTTCATCTGAGAATTCACATAAAAATCAGTTACCTCCCATGGGCTCATGGTTAAAACAAAATTAACCCGACTCCCCCTGTTAATTAAGTTGCGTATTCTAGAAATGCTGTATGCTTATTCAAGTGCACACACACACACATTCACACAAATGTAAACAGCATCTTGTTCTTACTTTTTTGCTTCACTGTCTTTGGAAACTCTTTCTCTGCTAGCAAATAAACAGCTGCCATATTCCTTGGAGTGGTTGCACATCCTTGATTTAATCCAGTGCCCTGTTGGTCGATATTGAGGTAGTTCTCCATTTTTCTGTGTGCAGCCCTCCCTAAGTAATAAGTAGCTTTGTGCATAAATCTTTAAGTACTTCTGCAAGTACATCCAGAGAAATTCCTAGCAGAGGAATTTCTGGGTCACAAGGCACCTGATTTTAAACTGTGAGTGCTGTTAAGCTGCCATGCAAAACAGCTGCCCCTGACCTCCAGTGCAACAGTGCCTGAGTGCCTGCTCCTCAGCTTCACCAACACTGTTCTCGTGTTTTCCTACCCAGTGAGTGAGCAGGGCAGCTTCCTTGTTGCTTATTTTCTTGTCTCTCTAATAATGGGGGAGACCAAGCATCTTTTCCTGTGTGCTTGCCGCCTTACTCTCTTCAAAGTACTCGCCCATGTGTGGCTGTGACTGGGCAGTTGTGTCCCCGCTGTGACAGATGAGGAAGCAGAACATAGGACCTGACTTAGCTCATCACCCAGGAAGCCAGCAGTGCTGCCGACGAGGCCCCAGCGCAGTGCTCTGCCACCTTCACTGGCCCAGGATTTGCAGAGCGGGGCGATTCCTGTGTAAAATCCATGCTGGGCCAAGCTGCCAGACGAGGGTGGGAGCCTCCCCTCCCACAGCCCAGAGGCCTGGCACGCACAACCATCTGGGGGCATCTGGTGAGAAAGGAGCCATCCACTGCTGTCTGCCAGCCCCACAGCTGGTTGCATCCCCCGTAGACACTCAGGCAGCTGCAGGCCAGGAGCCCCTCTGAGCCCCGTTCACAGCCCTTCCCTGCCTGCTTCTGGAAACCCAGCAGAAAGCCCTGGGCTCTGCAGCCATGGATGGCTGCTTTCTCTCCACCTGACTAGTGGGGATGACAGCGTGACCAGAGATGGCCTCCTTAATGGCTGCTGTCCACCCTGCACAGGCACATCATGGCTCCAGGACAGCTTGAGAGGCAAAGGATTGGCCTAGACATCTACTGGAGGCACCAGAGCCCCCAGCCTGGGTCCGAGTCCTGCCTCTGCCTCTTCCCAAGGAGGGGCCTCAGAAAGGGTCACTCACATCTCCACACCTCAGCGTCCTCATTTATAAAATGGGGATGATTGTGCCTGCATTGTTGGCTTGGGCTGAGGGGGAGATAAGATAAGCACAATACCTGCTGGAACAAGGCAAGTGTTCTGCAAAGCTCAGCCATTTGACCACAGGAAATAAACTGCTGAATGCAGTTGTTGCGTCCGTCACCACCATCATCACCATCATCACCATCACCGCCATCATCAGCATCATGGCTATCATCAGCATCAATGCCATCAACAGCATCACCGCCATCAACAGCATCACCACCTCCATCAACATCACCACCATCATCAGCATCACCGCCTTCATCGACATCACCACCATCATCAGCATCACTGCCTTCATCGACATCACCACCATCATCAGCCTCACCACCTTCATCAACATCACCACCATCTTCAGCATCATCACCATCATCAGCATCACCACCATCAAGAGCATCATTGCCAACAACAGCATCACCACCATCATCAGCATCACCGCCATCAACAGCATCACCACCATCAGTAGCATCACAGCCATCAACAGCATCACTACCATCAACAGCATCACTGCCATCATCAGTATCACCGCCATCATCAGCATCACCGCTATCATCAGCATCAGTGCCATCAACAGCATCACTGCCATCAACAGCATCACCGCCATCATCAGTATCACCGCCATCATCAGCATCACTGCTATCATCAGCATCACCACCATCATCAGCATCACCACCATCATCAGCATCACTGCTGTTATCAATGTCCCACTGCCATCAACAGCATCACCACCATCAACAGCATCACCACCTTCATCAACATCACCACCATCATCAGCATCACCGCCTTCATCGACATCACCACCATCTTCAGCATCATCACCATCATCAGCATCACCACCATCAACAGCATCACTGCTATCAACAGCATCACCACCATCATCAGCATCACTGCCATCATCAGCATCTCCACCATCAGTAGCATCACAGCCATCAACAGCATCACCACCATCAACAGCATCACCACCATCATCAGTATCACCGCCATCATCAGCATCACGGCTATCATCAGCATCATTGCCATCAACAGCATCACTGCCATCAACAACATCACCGCCATCAACAGCATCACCGCCATCATCAGTATCACTGCCATCATCAGCATCACTGCTATGATCAGCATCACTGCTGTTATCAGTATCACACTGCCATCAACAGCATTACCACCATCATCAGTATCACCACCATCATCAGCATCACCACCATCATCAGCATCACCGCCATCAACAGCATCACCGCCATCAACAGCATCACCGCCATCATCAGCATCACCTCCATCATCAGCATCACCTCCATCATCAGCATCATCGCCATCATCAGCATCACCTCCGTCATTAGCATCACCGCCGTCATCAGCATCACCGCCGTCATCAGCATCACTGCTGTTATCAGTATCCCACTGTCATCAACAGCATTACCACCATCATTAATATCACCGCCATTGTCAGCGTCACTACCGTCAACAGCATCACTGCCATCAACAGCATCACCACCATCATCAGTATCACTGCCATCATCAGCATCACTGCCATTAGCCCCACTTCACCGGGTCTGATATTGGGAGGCACAGCCAACTCTTGCTGGAGGGTCAGTCCTGATTCTGACAATTACAGGGCAGTCTAGTGGAACTGTGTTCACCATGCCCACGCACCGTTCTGGAGCCCTGGGCTGTGCAACACACAACCCCAATCTGTGCATACCTTCCCAGAGTGGCAGTGTGGGGTCAGGATATGCAGCATGGGCTGCCTAGACCCCAACTCCAGCCCACCACTACCAGCCAGGGCCTTGGGCAACTCATTTCACTTCTTGAAGCCTCCGTGTTCTCATCTGCAGAATGGGGATGATAATGATGTCTGCTCCCTGAGCTGGTTTGAGGGTTATACAAGCCCCCATGCGTGCTTGGAGCAGCAGGTATTGTTACTATAGAGACCCCCAGAGCAGGGTATGTCCTTTATTCCTAGGAATTCAAATAATGACATCTGACACAACACCAGTTTACAAAGAGCCCTCCACTGGATGTAAGGCCTTCTCATGATAATTTTCCTCAGAGGAGTTGGAGCAGCCTTGGGCCACTCAGCAAGCGCCTGGCAAGGCTGGAACCTGAACCCAGAGTCCCCCTCCCAAGTCCTTGGCCCTTGGTCCACCCAGCACTCCAGTTCCCATAGCAGCCTTTGTCATGGTCACTGGCTTTCCTTTTTCTTATCTGCACCAAGCACATGAAATGGAGAAATTGTCCTTTTAATCTGTGGCCTGATTGCAAAGAAGTTAAGAGTTCACCCTTTTGAAGGCATTAAGTTTTTGGAGCCTGTAGGTCAGGACCTTGGCCTGGGAATGAATGTCCTACATAATGGATAGCACCCTGCACGAGATCCTGCCCTGTTCGTGCTGCACTGCTGAAATAGTCAAGGGATTTTTTTTCCTCCCAAAGTTAACCAAGAAATTCCTGGGAACTTGCATTCCACTCATTTCCCCCAGCAGAGGAGTTCTATGGAGATGCCGACCAACCGTTTCTCCTCCATGCATTGTAAACTGTTAGGCGGGTAGCCTTCATGTGGTTTCGGGGGTGGCTGCAGGGAAGGCTTCCCAGGGCCACATGGTAAAGGCAGGCGTGTGGCAGGTCTTCCCTTTGGCTGCCCGGCTGCTCCTGTGCGGAAGAGCGGGAGACCTGCTGAGGGGCAGCTCTGTGCTTCAGTGAGGATTGGGCCCTGCGTCCTGAGGAAGCACTGTTGAAGGGAGAAGTGAGCCATGGCGTGCAAATTCAAGACAGGGTGCCAGAGAGTACCCTGGCTTTTCGGAGCCGTCCTCAGAGTGCGGCTGTAGTGCCGCAGATGTGATTTCCAGGAAAGACTCATTCGTTCAAGAGCTGCTGGGTGACTGAAGGCTCCCTGGTCACCCTCAGCTGACCCAGTTCTTTGGCCCTGTTCAGCCTCTAGCCAACCGCTGCCCTGGTCGGGACTTTTGAGGAGTTTAGGGGCAGTGCTCAAAAATAGTCCTGGAGAGCCAAGAGCCAATTTTCACGTTTTAAGCTGATTATATGTAGCCAAACAGACCAGCAATGCAAACCCTCTGCACCAGGATGTCCTTTATGGCAACTAGATGGGACCATGTCTTTGTTTAGTCCAAAAAGTGCCATCATGTCTCATAATCAGAAGTTTTGTCTGATTCAATGTCATAAATGGCTTTGGCTCATTAAAACGAGGAGTCGGAAGACGCAAGGCAATCATTACTTCCAGTCCGATCTTGGCAGGCAGGATCTTCTCATGTTCCTCATCTATGTGGGAAATATAATAAAGGGTCCTCAGTGGTGGAAGGGTTGGGAACCAGTGGTAAAGATCCCCAGGACACGATTTGAAGATCAGCAGCCTCTGCCCCCTCCTGAGGCCAGGTCTCCTGGGCCAGCAGCAGGAGTGCCTGCAGGAAGGAATAGGCTGTGCCCAGGACAGGAAGCACTGCCATCCTGCTGGGCAGGCTGAGATGCACAGGTGTAGGGAGGGCTGTGACCTCCTCCATGTCCTCTGTGGGCCGCTGGTCCTCTGTGGCACCTGGCCCCCACCCCTCCCTACACAGAAGGCACAGCTTACTTCTGAGTTTCACCACATGATTTGCAGAGAGAGGAGAACCACATGGAAAGTGTGGTCAAGCACCTCTGTGCTCACATTTTTCAAGCCTTCTGAGCAATCGAGACCTGTGCATCCCCCAGCTTGCAGGGGGCTGGAGGCCGGGGGGCTTGGTATTTGAGCACTCAGCTTCAGACTAAGTCCTTGAAGGTCCCGTCTCCAGCATTGATTCCTGGGGGGTCCCTGGGGCTGCTGTGGGGCTCCCGGAATTACACCCCACCCCAACTGCTCTCAATGTGCCGCTGTTTCCTGTGGATTCTGAGTCTTGGCACCGTGAGACCAGTGTGCAGTGTGGGACTCTTCTTTCTTCCAGGCAACCGGTGACCAAAAACACTTTCAGGCAGTACCGAGTGCTAGGAAAAGGGGGCTTCGGGGAGGTGAGTGAACATTCACGTTTTTAATTGAAAGTTCTTATATTCTAGTCACCTTTCCTGTCCCTTCTGGATCGACCTAAAGGGTCAGCGCAGGGGTCCCCCTGGGATGCTAGCAGCTCAGTGTGGGCCCCGGGGGCAGTGAGGGTGGGGGAGAATCAGTGGCCTTGGGGCTATCAGGTGTGTCTAAGGTGGAAGGAGGGTGTGGAGCTGGGCAGGTGAGACAGAGGGGCTCTCCCACCAGCCTCAGGCAGGGTCCAGCCTGCAGGAGACAAATGGGCCACCCTGGGCGTGTGTGGGGAGGAGATGTGAGGGCATGAGGAGGCTGGGCAACCTTGGCTGCTCAGTGCCTGGATGACGCTGTCATGCAAGATTCGAGATTTCGTTGTACATTATCCGATCTTCGATCTTCCCAGCATGCGAAGCAAGACTTGTTATTCCCATTTTAGAGATCAGGAAGCTGAGGTCCAGAATGATGAGGTGACCCAGCCAAAGGCACGCAGAAAATGTGGCGCAGAACTAAGACTTGAGCCCAAATGCTTTGGTTCCCACTTATCTGGATTATAAAGTCAGGGTTCTTGAGGATCTCCTATCACCTACTCCCAAAACAAACTTCTCTACCAGCAGCCGCTAGGAGAAAATTCAGTTGCCCTGGGAATGGGACAGTACTTGGGGCCCCAGTCAGTTATCTAAGCCTTGGTGTGAGTGGCTCATTCTGCCACTTCCAGGACTGGGAATCCTCGAAGGGGAGGAAGAGGGAGGGCAAGGGCCCAGGACAGCCGTGGGTCCTAGGCCAGGCATCATGGGGTCCTGGGAGCCTGGAGCACCCACGAAGCCAGGCAGGGCTGGCTCTGACCCCATCCATTCTCCACCTGGGAGCCCTGTGGTCCCGGCTCAGGAGGTGCTAGAGACAGGCCTCCACAGTGCTCCTGCCACCCTGGTTTCTTTCTTGCACTGCAGGTCTGTGCCTGCCAGGTTCGGGCCACGGGTAAAATGTATGCCTGCAAGCGCTTGGAGAAGAAGAGGATCAAAAAGAGGAAAGGGGAGTCCATGGCCCTCAACGAGAAGCAGATCCTCGAGAAGGTCAACAGTCAGTTTGTGGTGAGTGAGCATCTGGGCCCAGTGACCGGCTCGCCCTTCTGTGGACTGGGGCTTCCCTCCCTCCGGAAGGGTGTGGTCCTCTAGTGCGGCAGCTCCCCACCCCAGGGAAGGGGAATGCCAGTGACAGGGCTGAGCTACAGAAAGGCAGCAAGACAGTCCTCCATCACAAGGCCTCTTGTGGTCGATTGTGGCTGGCTTTGTCCCATCCCCAGAGCCAGCCAGTGCCTGCCTCCCTGCTGTGTGTGAGACTGATGCCTCTGTTCTCCTGGACCATTTTGTAAACTCCTCAGTGGACAAAAGCAAGTTCACCTGGGCCCAGCCTGGGAGCTGTGGGTTCCACAGACCCTCTAGGCTGGTGCCATCATGTTGGGGACCTTAGTACCAGCATCCTGGAATGGCACTATCAAGCCTGTGTACGTTGTGTTAGTCAGTCTAGGCTGGGCCCTGCTGCAGTAACAAATTTGCCCCAAACCCTAAGTAGCTGAATACAGCAGAGGTTCATCTGTCACTCACCTGAAGTCCAATCAGATTGGGCCAACCACCTCCATCTAACAGCTGCCCCATCTGGAGCCTTGAAAGTGAGTGCTAGGGGTTCCACACAGAGACTTTCCACTACCTCTCCTGGACGGATGTTCCTCAGTTTCACCCACAGTCTGCCAGCCAGAACCAGTCAACACAGAGACAAGTTAGTTTCAGGGGAGGCTGGGAAATGTGAAGTGCATGGATATTTGGTCAGCTTTAATACCTTCTGCTACATGCTGTTATAAAAAATAAAGCTGGGTGCAGTGGTACATGCCTGTAGTCCCAGCTACTCAGAAGGCTGAGGCAGGAGGATTGCTTGAACCCAGGACTTTGAGGCTGTAGTGAGCCATGATCATGCCACTGCACCCCAGCCTGGGTGACACAGCAAGACCTCATCTCTAAAAATAAATACATGCATACATTAAAAATTATATATACACAAGGTAAAAATTTAAACAGCACAGAAGGATACACAATAAAACGAAAAGCTTCCCTCTTTGATTAATCACTCCAGACATGTTTTATTCATGTACAGGCTTTGTTATTTTTAGCCAGTGGGATCTTCTGTACCTCTTATGGAGGAATGTTTTTCCCTTACATTGTAGATCTTTTTCTCCATCCAGACCTCTAATTCATGCCCCTTTTAAAGTTGGGCATCATTCTCCTGAAGAGATAAAGCATAATCCGTGTAGTCAGTCCCCATGGATGGAAATTGTTTTCCATCTTTAAACCACTAGAGGGCCAGGCACGGTGGCTCACGCCTGTAATCCTAGCACTTTGGAAGGTCGAGACAGACAGATCACTTGAGGTCAGGAGTTCAAGACCAACCTGGCCAACATGGCAAAACCCCATCTCTACTAAAAATACAAAAATTACCTGGGCATGGTGGTGGGCGCCTGTAATTCCAGCTACTTGGGAGGCTGAGGCATGAGAATCACTTGAACCTGAGAGGCAGAGATTGCAGTGAGCTGAGATCGTGCCACCACACTCCAGCATGAGCGACAGAGTGAGACTTCGTAAAACAAACAAACAAACAAAAACACTACAGACCAGTGGCAGTCCAAGAGGATGGAAGTTTGCATCTTGGGATCTCATCCCAGGCCACCCTCAGCTGCCAGCCTTGTCTGGGGTGCAGGTGTGGGCAGTGCCATGGTATGTGGAGATGAGGCGGATGAGGCTAACTCCAGCCGTCATTTCAGCCATGGGCCTCCTTGAGTCCAGAACCTTCCTCCCCACCACCAGCCCCTTCAGCAGGAAGCCCTGGATGCTGCCTGTGGAGCCTTGTCTCTGAAGGGATGGTGCCAGCTCTGGCCGCGGATGGTGCTGGTGGGTCCTGCTCAGGGAGGAGGATCGTGTGACTCACAAAGCTGGGCGGCACGTCTTTAACAGCCTTCAGTCATGATGGCTGCACCTTCTTTAACTGTGCCCCATCCACGGCCCCTGGCAGGGAGTTCCCACAGTGTCACCTCCTGGAACCATTTCTCAGTGATCACCTGGGCAGATGTGGGAGGAAGGTGACAGCTGTAGCCGTTGCAGCAGAAGCACGGTCCCCATGAGCTCACTCATCCTCAGCTGTCATTTTGTCTCCTTTCCTCAAAAATAGCTGATGTTGATGCACCAGTTTTATGGCACAGCCAGTTCCTAGCCTGGCCCTCAATGGCCAGGTTTCATGTGTGCCACCTCCCTACATGGAGAAGGATTACCTTCTGGCATAATTTGCCCCTGCCGCCCCACCATGGCCTTGCTTCACAGAGCCTTGGGTGTCTGGACTCCACCAGCAGAGGACTAGACCCCTCTCTCTTGGTGGCCCCTTGCCAGGTGGACCAGTGCATTAGTCCATTTTCACACTGCTGATGAAGACATACCTGAGACCAAGCAATTTACAAAAGAAAGAGGTTTGAAGGACTTACAGTTCCATGTGGCTGGGGAGGCCTCACAATCATGGTGGAATGCAAAAGGCACTTCTTACATGGCAGTGGCAAGAGAAGAATGAGAACCAAGTGAAAGGGGTTTCCCCTTATAAAACCATCAGATCTCGTGAGACTTATACACTACCACGAGAACAGTATGGGAGAAACTGCCCACAATTCAATTATCTCCCACTGGGTCCCTCCCACAACACATGGGAATTATGGGAGTACAATTCAAGATGAGATTTGGGTGGGGACACAGCCAAACCATATCATTCCACCCCTGGCCACTCCCAAATCTCATGACATCACATTTCAAAACCAGTCATGCCTTCCCAACAGTCCCCCAAAATCTTAACTCATTTCAGCATTAACTCGAAAGTCCATACACAGTCCACAGTCTCACCTGAGACAAGGCAAGTCCTCTCCACCTACAAGCCTGTAAAATCAAAAGCAAGTTAGTTACTTCCTAGATACAATAGGGGTACAGGCATTGGGTAAACACAGCTGTTCCAAATGGATGGAATTGGCCAAAACAAAGGGGCTACAGGCCCCATGCAAGTCCAAAATCCAGCAGAGCAGTCAAATCTTAAAGCTCTGAAATGATCTCCTTTGACTCCATGTCTCACATCCAGATCATGCTGATGCTTTGGGCAACTCCATCCCTGTGACTTTGCAGGGTACTGTCTCCATTCTGGCTGCTTTCATGGGCTGGCATTGAGTGTCTGCAGGTTTTCCAGGCAAACGGTGCAAGCTGTCAGTGGATCTACCATTCTGGGGTCTGGAGGATGGTGGCCCCCTTCTGACAGCTCCAATAGTCCATGCCCCAGTAGGGACTCCGTGTGGGGGCTCTGACCCCACATTTCCCTTCTGCACTGCCATAGCAGAGGGTCTCCATGAGGGCCCCGCCCCTGCAGCAAACTTCTGCCTGAGCATCCGGGTGTTTGCACACATCTTCTGAGTCTAGGCAGAGGTTCCCAAACCTCATTTCTTGACTTCTGTGCACTCGCAGGCTCAACACTACATGGAAGCTGCCAAGGCTTGGGGTTTCCATCATGGCTCGAGCTCTAGATTGGCCCATTTCAGCCACAGATGGAGCAGCTGGGACGCAGGACACCGGGCACCAAGTCCCTCAGCTGCACACAGCACAGGGACCCTGGACCCAGCCTGCAAAACCACTTTTTCCTCCTAGGCCTCTGGGCCTGTGATGGGAGGGGCTGCTGTGAAGACCTCTGACATGCCCTGGAAACATTTTCCCACGGTCTTGGAGATTAACATTCAGCTCCTTGTTACTTATGCGAATTTAGTCAGCCAGCCTGAATTTCTCCTCAGAAAGTGGGATTTTGTTTTCTATTGCATTGCCAGGCTGCAAACTTTCCAAACCTTTATGTCCTCCTTCCCTTATAAAACCGAATGTCTTTAACAGCACCTATGTCACTCCTTGAATGCTTTGTTGCTTATAAATTTCTCTGTGAGATACTCTAAATCATCTCTCTCAAGTTCAAAGTTTCACAAATCTATAGGGCAGGGGCAAAATGCCACCAGTTTCTTTGCTAAAACATAACAAGAGTCACCTTTGCTCCAGTTCCCAACAAGTTCCTCATTTCCATCTGAGACCACCTCAGCCAGGACTTTATTATCCATATCACTCTCAGCATTTTGGGCAAAGCCATTCAACAAGTCTCTAGGAAGTTCCAAACTTTCTCACATTTTCCTATCTTCTGAGCCCGTCAGTCTTCCAACCTCTACCTGTTACCAGTTCCAAAGTCGTGTCTACGTTTTTGGGTATTTTTTTCAGTACTGCCTCACTCTACTGGTCCAATTTACTCTATTAGTCCGTTTTCACACTGCTGATAAAGACATACCCGAGACTAGGCAATTTACAAAAGAAAGCGGTTTAATGGACTTACAGTTCCATGTGACTGGGGAAGCCCCACAATCATGGCAGAAGGCGAAAGGCACTTCTTACATGGCGGTAGCAAGAGAAGAATGAGAACCAAATGAAAGGGGTTTCCCCTTATAAAACCATCAGATCTGTGAGACATATTCACTACCACAAGAACAGTATGGGAGAAACTGCCCCCATGATTCAGTTATCTCCCACCGGGTCCCTCCCACAACACATGGGAATTATGGGAGTACAATTCAAGATGAGATTTGGGTAGGGACACAGAGCCAAACCATATCAACCAGGCACATCCTGCATGCCAGAAAACCTTTGCAGGCTGTGTTCCCTTCTCAAAGCCCACTGCCTCAGTTTCACCCTCACTTGGCCCTGTGATAATGGCTTCACAGCTAAGAAGGACAGGTGAGCCTGCTTTTCTGACTGGCCAACAAGGCTGTCCAGTCTTCTCAGCTGATGCACACATGTGCTTCTGTGGAGGAGCACAGACCGCCATCCTGTTGGATTCACTGGGAGGTCGGGGTGCCAGCCTGCCCTACCCACCTTGGCCTTCTCACCTTGAGCCACTGAATGGGAGAATTTGGTGTGAGCCCCTTATCAGCCAAGGAGGCCGTAGGCAGGGTCCTGCAGAGGCATCTGGAGTGCACAGGGAGCAGGAGTGAAACTCCTTTGTTCCCTCCACCCCAGTTCCCAGGATCCTGAGGAGGAAGCGGAGTGAGTCGAGCCATTTTCATGACCTCCCATGGCACTGTTATTGCGGCTCCCAGGTCAGCCTCGCCTGTGCCTACGAGACCAAAGATGCTGTGCTTGAGTCTGGCCATCATGGAAACGGGGTGACCTGAAGTTCCACATCTACAACACCGACCCCGGCTTCGAGGAGGAGGCGGGCCTTGTTCTGTGAGATCCTCTGCTGGCTTGAAGACCTCCAGCAGAGATCCTCTGTGGCTTAGAAGACCTCCACCGTGAGAACACCGTCTACCGGTGAGTGGAGGGCACTGAGGCCTTCCAAGTCTAATCCGAGAGGGTGGGGCCAGCGCCTCTGCACCCTCGGGCAGGTGGTCACCATCGCTCTGGGAATCAGCCCTGGTCAGCACCAGGGGAGGGTGCAGAGTTGGACAGACTTTCTACTCCAGGAACCTAGGGCCCCCGGCACTGAAGAAGTGAGGTCGCCACCCTCTGGCTAGTGTTCTCCAGCCTCCAAAGTTTAGGGAAGTCAAGCAAGTGAAATGATGTTCTCGAAACTGACTGCTCCTTCAAGTCAAGGAGAACGGGCCATGACCACTGCTCCCTCCAGTTGCCTCCATCCCAGCACCCAGGGAAGGTCAGAAGGGGCCTGGTGGCCGCTATCTGGGATCAGCCCTGGGAAGACTTGGGTGGGGTCACTGCCCACAAGCAGAATACTGTGGCCCATTGTCCCACCCCACACTGTCCTCAACTTGCTCTGCTCTTCACCCCCTCTCCCCCCCACCTCAATCCTGTAGGGACCTGTACATTGTAGGGCCAGGGGTCCAGATTCCACTCACAAGGAGCAGTGCCCTTCAGGTTTTTCTCCCAGTCTTTCTGAAAGAATTTTGAAAATCTCTGTGACACTGCATTTTAAGTAGACATTTGAAATATTCCATCATATTGAAATAGTGGCAATTTTTTAAATATTGAAATTGAGCAGTTACATTACACTCTTCAAGGGATCCAGTGGAATCGCTAGTTGCTGTAGCGAATTGATTTGCACCTGCATTTATCCAAAAAATGCACAGAAAGCTCTTTAGTGATGAGGAATTTTCTATCATTTCCTTCACTCTCTCCATCCCCCCAGAATGTTAATAATATTTTTTGCCTGAAAGTCTTTCATCGATGAGCGTACATCTCTGAAACAAATATATGGATACATATAAGAGTTTTTGAAATTCCATTTGACCAGAAGGCCCTAAAACAAATACATGGATACACACAAGTTTTTTTGAAATTCCCTTTGGCCATAAACCTCTAAGTGTTAAAACAACTTCTCTGGCCAGGTATCGTGGTTCATACCTGTAATCCCAGCACTCTGTGAGGCTGAGGCAGGCAGATCACCTGAGGTCAGAAATTCGAGACCAGCCTGGCCAACCTGGTGAAACCCTGTCTCTATTAAAAATACAAAAAGTAGCTGGACGTGGTGGCACATGCCTGTAGTCCCAGCTACTTGGGAGGCTGAGGCTAAAGAATCGCTTTAACCTGGAGATTGCAGTGAGTCAAGATCATCACTGCACTCCAGCCTGGGTGACAGAGCAAGACTCTGTCTCAAAATAAAATAAAATAACTTTTCCCTTTTTTTTTTTTTTTGAGACGGAGTCTTGCTCCGTTACCCAGGCTGGAGTGCAGTGGTGCGATCTCACTGCAAGCTCCGCCTCCTGGGTTCACGCCATTCTCCTGCCTCAACCTCCCGAGTAGCTGGGACTACAAGCGCCCACCACCATGCCCGGTTAATTTTTTGTATTATTAGTAGAGACAGGGTTTCACCGTGTTAGCCAGGATGGTCTCAATCTCCTGACCTCACGATCCACCCTCCTTGGCCTCCCAAAGTGCTGGGATTACAGGCATGAGCCACTGCGCCCAGCCAGGTAGATCTCACTTCTAATCAGTCCTTTGGAACCGGGGGTTTTGACATCTGGAGTGGGTTGCTACAGTCATACTCGGGAGGGGAGGAAGCTGCTTTTCTTCTGTAACTTGGGAGAAGAGTTATTGAGAAGGGGGAGGTGGGAGGGCGATCCCAAAAGATGCCAGGACAGAGCATCCTGATGCAAAGAAATCCAAACCCCTAAAACTTCGGACAGAAGGGAACCCCCTGCTTGGTCCTGGCAGACCCCAACACACAGCCCAGTCTGAAGACCTTTACAGTGGAGCTCATCTTGGGACCAGGAAGGTTTTGAAAACAAGAAAGAATGGTCTTGATGACATGCCCTTCCCCCCATACCATCCCCCCATTTATGTTTCTATTTTGTTGTCATTCAAGTGAAGAGTCGGAAAATTTTCCCTAAGGGTTGGACAAAGAATTCTCTACTTGATTGCCTTTTATTTAAAAAGAGAGAAGAAAGCCCTCCAAGTTCCAGCTTCTCTTCTTCCAGGGGCAGAAAGAACCACAGTGCCTCCTCCCTGCCTGTGGCCACTCGCCACGGCCTCTCTCTGGGCTCGGTTCTGACCAGTGCCCACTAGTGAGCTGCCCTGCTAGCCTGGTGGCAGCCAGCTTGTTGAGATGATGGCTCCTGCCCTTATTTGGAATTGGTAACATATCAAAAGAATGCCGTTTAAATAACAACAGCAACAAAAGTATTTTGTGATAAATAAGGATATACAAACACCAATTATCATTTGATGAGGCTCACTGGCTGGATTTGGGTACATTAGCCACTCTGCATGAGGACAGCTGCCATCAGTTAAATAAACAAAGCTGAGTGGTTGAGAACTGGAGCCTCCATCCAGATCCTGTGTACTGTTTGCCCCATGGCTTAATGAGTTGCACACACTCCTGTTGGCTGTTCTTTTACTCATAGAGAAGACTTTTTCCTATAAAACCAGCTCCTCTGCTGGCTCTCCCCCCATCCTGGGAATGCAGAGGCTCCCCTTCTTGTGAGCAAGATTCCATCATCAAGAGAAGAGACGTTAGGGACAGGATAAGGCAGCCACACCTACGCCGTGCCCTATAGCTGTGCTTTCTCCAGCGTTGTAATGTAGCTGGAGTTAGGGAATGTGCCAGTCTCCTGCAGGCCCCATCCCAAAGGGGGTCTTTTTCCTGTACCCCCACCTTCTCCCCTTCGATCCTCTCTTCCCAATTGTGCAGCTCCCTTCACTCCAGGCCCTGTTCTGCCTTCAGGGCTTCCTGAGACCTGCAGGGTCTTCCCAGCCTTGGAGGGGCTCTGTTACCCCACCAGAAGTATCCTCAGCCCTAGAGTCATTGATGTGTGAACAGGGGCCATGACTGGCCTTTTCCTAACTTTCCCAGTCACCCTCCAGGGTTGGGAAATGCCTGTGGCAAACAGCAGTGTTGCTTTAAATTACTGGAAGGAGAGAAATGAGCTGAAGATCATTTTGACTCAAAGCAGACAGCCTGAGCCACAAGGTGGGAAGGAAACACCCTGTGGCCACTTAGGCCTGGTTAGCCCGAGGGGTCAACCAGATGCCAGTGCATCCTGCCTGCCCAGAATGCCCACACTCTGATGCTTGTCGTTTTTCCTTTCAGAGATCTGAAACCTGAAAACATCCTGTTAGATGATTATGGTAAGTCTTTTCCTACTCGATAGCTGAGGCGAGCATCGCAACCCAGAGAAAGCAAAGGGCCTCCCAGGGATTCTCAGAGAGGGCTGGGGAGACTGACCACAGGCCCCACTCCCACTGCTCATGCTGGGTACCTGGGGAAGAGAGAAAGCTGTGAGCATGGACAGAGCTCCTGCTTGGTGAACAGGCAGTGTTCAGAGAGACATAGAAATTCAGAGTTTTTAAAATTCCCTTTGATCATAAGGCTCTAAGTGCTAAAATAACTTCTGGCCGGGCGCGGTCTCTACAGCACACTGAGCAAGGAGTCTAGAATTTCAGAGACGCTGGGCAAATACTTAACTTCCACTAAGTTCTCCATCTTTCATCTTGTTTGTGAAATGGAAGCAAAGCGTCCTGCCCTGCCCTGCCCACCCAGAGGGAAGAGGGTTGTGGCGAGGCTCCTACACGACAGCTTGAGAGGGAGTTGCTCGTTGGTCTACCCAGCTGTAAATGTCTTAGGCATTATGCTTGTGCATTACCATCATTATTTTCTCTTGGCTGTGGGCACTGAATAGCAAGAACAACCACAGTAACCCTCATAGCTGTGTAGCCTCACACCTGGAAAATAGTTCCTACACCTTTTTTTTTTTTTTGAGACAGAGTCTCACTCTGTTGCTCAGGCTGGAGTGCAATGGCATGACCTCAGCTCACTGCAATGTCTGCCTCCCAGGTTCAAGTGATTCTCTTGCCTCAGCCTCCCAAGTAGCTGGGATTACAGGCATGCGCCACCACACCTGGCTAGTTTTTGTATTATTATTATTATTTATTTTTATTTTTTTTGAGATGTAGTTTTACTCTTATTGCCCAGGCTGGAGTGCAGTGGCGTGATCTCAACTCAGTGCAACCTCCACCTCCCGAGTTCAAGCTATTCTGCTGCCTCAGTCTCCCAAGTAGCTGAGATTACAGGCATGTGCCACCATGCCTGGCTAATTTTTATATTTTTAGTAGAAAGGGGGTTTTGCCATGTTGACCAGGCTGGTCTCAAACTCCTGACCTCAAGTGATCCACCCGCCTCAGCCTCCCTGAGTGCTGGGAATTACAGGCTTGAGCCACTTTGCCTGGGTGATTTCCACACCTTTGATCTGACTAGATCTTCCCACCTGCACAGAGAAAGTCAAGACAGCATCTCTGTGCCCATTTTACAGATGACAAAACTGAGCCTCAGGGGAGCCATCCTGCCAGAGTCAGCCAGCAGCATCAGTGGGGAGCCGAGGGCAGAAACTGGGCCTTTTGCCAGCAGGCGCCACACCCTGGCAGTCCCCAGTAGAGGGAGGGGAGAGACTAGGTCGCTGATGACCTGAAGAGAGGTCTGCATGGGATACTGCCCTGTGGAGGGGCGGTCGGAGGGCCCAGGCCTGCCGCCGTCTCTGGATGAGCCCAGTGCCTCCCTTGGTCTCAGAACAAAGCCCACCCTGCTCCTCTGCTGTCCTGACTGTCAGCCCCCACCGAGCCAGGGAGTCCATGCAGCTACAGCCTGACGGCGTCTCGACACTGGCCCTTGCTGACACCTAGGCTGGAGGGGTGGAGATGGGGCCCTGCTGCCCGTAGGCAGGGAAGGGAAGGGGACATGCTCCTTCCTGTGGGGGTAAGTTGTGGCTGTGACCCTGCCCAGGTGGGCCGTGGGAGGGACAAAGACCGAAGTGGAGCTCAGCTCGGCGTCTCCTGCTCTCAGGTCCGTGCTGGGCTGTGAGCTCAGATTCATCTCCAGGCTCTGCCGGGTCAGACCAGACATTTTCCCTTCTCGTTTCTCTAAAGTGAAAAACAACCAACCTCCAGAGACCAGCAAGGCAGGCCTGGGAGCTGCTTCCCAAATTGTTTTATAATTTTTTCCCCTTAAGCAAATAGTTGCAGAATGCCAGCAGGACCTCACATTTTTCCCATGAAGTAATCCCAGAACAAGCCAAGATTCTCGGTGACCTCAGCCGTCCATGAGGCCCATTCAGCCTTTGACTAGGCAGGTCGGCCAACGTCCAGTCCAGCCGGGTCCAGGCATCCTATAGCATCTTTACGTTCCACTCCTGAAGAGTGGGCATTTTCCTGTGTCCTCCCACACCTGCACTCCCCCAAGGGTCTTGTGGTCACCCTGAGATGGCAGATTGGGGTCCCTGTTGTCCTCGGACAGATGAGAGTGCTGAGAGCTCGTGTGCCTTGCCCACGGGCACACAGCAAGGCCCGGCGCCCATGCGGCTGTCCCGGGAACCCACTGACCCTGCTGTCCCCCTCAGGCCACATTAGGATCTCAGACCTGGGCTTGGCTGTGAAGATCCCCGAGGGAGACCTGATCCGCGGCCGGGTGGGCACTGTTGGCTACATGGGTAAGTGCTGGGCTGCCTCTGTCAACGCACCCCGATACCCACTGGGGCCGCCCCTGCTCACTGCCAGCTGAGCCCCCAGAGCCTGCCCACAGAGCCTCTTGCCTCTTTGTGCACTGCTGATCACACGCAGAGTCACAGTCTCTGCAGGGCTGCTGGGGGGCGGCCTTAGCCAGGGGGCGGAGGAGCACAGGGGCCCCAGATGTGACAACTGCTCTGAGCTGTCTGCACTCCCAGGTCCCAGCCCCACCTGTGTCCAAAGCCAAGCCACTCTTAGGTTTTGGGGCCTCGCACACAGCGCTGCTAGGGGAGGCCACATTGAAGCAGAGGTCTAGGAGGAGAGACCCTTAAGAGGAAGGAGATAATTCAGAAGAGCCCCCAAATGAGAGGCGGCACAGCTGCGGCATCACCGAGCGTGACTCCAGTAGAGAGCAGCCTTTGGTTCCTGACACCTTGCCTTAGTCTGCTCCGAGACCAGAGTCCTGGGGGTTGCAGGGAAGAGACCCAGAGTTAAGTCCTGTGCCCTAGAATCCCCCATCCAATTTGGAGCACGCCCTGGGCTTCCTCCTGTGCATTTCACACGCCTACCCTCCTTCCCCTGAGAGGCAGGAGCCCCAGAGAGCTCCGAGGACCAGGCACGCTGCCACCCTCTGGTCAGGCTGGTGCCAACAGCAGCTGCATGGGAGGTGTACCTTGTCTCTGGTGCTAGAGGGCCCTTTTCAGATTGCATGACATTTGGCAACCTGTGGGGTGTGTGTCTGTGTGTATGTGAGTGTGTGTGTGCCCACGTGAATGCTGATCGACGATTGATAGGGATGTAGGCGGGTGGGTGGATGGATGGATGAATGGATGGGATGATGGATGGGTGGATGACAGATCTGCCTACCTGTGTGTGCATTTGCCTGGGTCTCCTTTTGCAGAGTGTTCCATGCATCTGTCTGCCCAGGCTCTTGTGTGCAAACCAGCACGTGTGTGGATGCATTTCCCTCCAGACATACATGCTGATGATGCAGAATTATCTTTTTTGTATTTCTATGGTGAATCTGTAATTCACTTTATCAAAGTGGTAGAGAAGACATAGCAAGAGATGGTTTGAATTACAGATAAATTTAAGATCATCTTTAATTTGGGTAGATACACCTTTATTCATTGAAACAAATATACCAATAGCACCTGTTCTGTGCCAGGTGTCGTACTTGTTACAGTAGTGAATAAAGTAGCTCATGTTCTACGCAAGGGGACATCAAGAGTGCAGGACACCTCCATCCACAGTGGTCAGAGTTCTAAAGCTACAATCAGAGTCCTTCGGGGGCACAGAGGAGAGTCATCAGGGCAGGCTCCCTGGAGGAGGTGGTATTCACAGCAGTTGGTGGGGTAGGAGTTGGTGGTGGCCACTGTCCCAGCCATGAACCTCCAGGCCTTCAGTGAGCAGTGCCACCAGCTGTCTCCCCACTCCTCACTCCTCTCTCCTCTCCTCTGCCTCCAGCTCCAGAGGTCCTGAACAACCAGAGGTACGGCCTGAGCCCCGACTACTGGGGCCTGGGCTGCCTCATCTATGAGATGATCGAGGGCCAGTCGCCATTCCGCGGCCGCAAGGAGAAGGTGAAGCGGGAGGAGGTGGACCGCCGGGTCCTGGAGACCGAAGAGGTGTACTCCCGAAAGTTCTCCGAGGAGGCCGAGTCCATCTGCAAGATGGTGAGTTCCTGGTGGCCAGACGCTACCCTCCCTGGGCCTGGCCCCAGTCTGTCCCCAAAACAGCAAACGCTGGCTGAAGGGACGGGGATCTGAGCACGCTAGGGTGTGGTGGGGGGTGCAACCCACCAAGCTAGAGCTGAGGGCACTCCTTGCTGCGGACTGGGGTGGTCAACGGAGGCTTCCAGGAGAAAGTCTGGGTGGGGCAGGGACACCCAGGAAGCAAGGGAAGGGGAGTGAGGGGAACAGTGTGGAACACCCTCACATCCAGCCTGTGGGGGTCTGCACAGGGCGGAGAAGCGGTGGTCTGAGCTAGACACAAAGCAACCTTGAGTCAAGCCCCCGCCCCTGCCCTTGGGCCTCCTGCTCCCTCCACCTCTGGATCCCAAGGTGTTGGTTTAAGACAAAGAACTGCAGCGGGTGGGGGTGATGATTTCAGTGTTTGAACATCTTATAACAAAGTTTTCCACCACTAGATGGACTGCTGGTCACGCCGGCCTGGCTCCTGCGTGGCAGGGTCTAGGGATAGTGAGGTCTGACCCACCCAAAGGCAGGACATGGTGGGAGTGACGATTACACAAGCTGGGTGGGTGGGGCCAGATGTGGGGACTGGAAGCCAGATAAAGGAGTGACAGGAGCCATTGGAAGTGGGGGATATGGGAGTGGAGTCTGCCGTGCCCGCCCTGCCCCTGGGCCCCCCCACGCCGGCCCTCAGGCCCTTTCCTGGGAACCAGGACTAGTGGCTTTTTGGGGAGATGGCTACTTCCTGCTCCTGCCTGGCTCTCAGCCCCCAAGTCCAGCCGTGCCCCCTTGGGGCCCTCCTCCTTATGGTCCCCGGCACAGCTGTGCTGGCACCCCCACTGCAAGCAGCTGCCCTCTAATGCCAGCCTTACAGGGACAGGAAGGGCCAGAGCACCCAGCTCCACACTTGCCAGCCCACAGACTTCCTCTTCTTTCCCTGGAGCCCCATGTACCCGGAGCCACAGATGGGCAGGCCAAGTCTGGGAGGGGGAACCACACTTCCCACCCCTCTACATCTGCAGGGACTCTGGGGGCAGGTTCAGCATGTGCGTGGACAACCCAGGCAGCTCCCGGAGTTTAGGAAGCAGCAGGCCGGGGAGCTGATTAAAAGTTGCAACGCTTCTGCTCAGGAAGACCTGAGGCTGCGCTGCGAGCGGCCCCAGGAGGGTCTGGCTCGGCTCCTCACCCCAGAGGCCCCTCTCCTGCAGCCAAACACCTCTGCTCGGCCCCTTCCTGTCACCAACCTCATCCTCACCTCACAGAGCTGTGGGAAGAAGGCCTGTGTGTACCGCAGACCCACACCCTAACCCCACAGCTGTTGGCCTGCCGTGTAGCTGGGGCCTCAGAGAAAACCACATGGTCATCGCAGCCGGGGCTAGGGTGGGGGAACCAGAGGAGCAGTGCAGCACTGGTCGAGTACACGGAAACGTGGGTGCGAGCCATGCTTGGCTGTCTCATTGGGAGATACCTGTCAGGTGCGACAAAACTAGACAAGGGAAAGATGGGGTCAGACAGCCGTGGGCAGAGCATCACCAAATGTCCCAGGTCAGGGCCAGGCAATCAGAGAAGCAGGTCTTGAGAGATCTCAGCAGAGATATGGGACATACTAAGAGGATGATGAGGTGGAGAGGGCCCCAGTCTCACCCCCGGACCCCAGTCACCCACCTTGGCCCCTGGCTTTGGAGCTGGGATCTCCTGCTGCACCCTGGACCAGAGCGCTGCTGTCCCTCTGCTGCCCCCTGGTGGACACTGAGAGAAAGCTTGCTGCTCCCAGAGGACCTGTCCGGTGGGTACAAAACCACTGTCCTCTGGAAGCCTCTGGCCTTGCTGCGGCTTCCCTTACAAATGATCTTGGGTCCTGGGAGTCTGGTCTTAGGCCTCCTTCATGCCCTTGACTGCAGCATCTCTGGCATGCAGACCTACCTTGTCCCCTCCAGCTGGCGGCAGCTCAGGACACTGCAGAGCCTGGCTTGCCAGGAGAGCTCACAGGCCCCGGGTTCACAGGGCTATTTCTAGGCTCTGGTGGCTCCAGCCCAGCCTACCTAAAAGGGCCCCTCCACAATCGGCCAGGAAGCTGGTCTCTGGCCCCCAGGTCTGTCCCCCATTCTACCTTAGCAGCCACAGAAGCCGCTCCCCCTCCTCTGGAGCCCAGAAATTCACACATCTCACCTCTTTGTCCCCTGAGCCCAGTCCATGGACCCAGACCTCAGCCTCCATCTTCCCCAAGCCCCTGCTCAGTCCCAGCACTGGGCCTTACCCCCACTTCAGCTCCCTCTTGCCCTTCAGCCATCTTGGTCTCACTTGTCCTTCCAGCCCATCTGTACTCCTCTTCCAGGAAGCCCACTCTGCCTGCCCCACCCATCCCAGCTCACACCTTCTCTTCCTCTTACTTCTCCTGGTGTCCACCTGATAGCATGGTTGCAAACTCCTTACCTCACGACATGGCTGCAAACCATTGACCGGATGCCAGGGTTTCAAATGGCAACATATAGGTCGGTGTTTGGTTCAACCTGCACAGGGTGTTTCAAAAGAAGTAAATGGTAGGTTCATTGCCAAGATTTTAAAATGTGGAGATTTCATATAATAACCTGGATTTTCTGGCTTCTCTTGAAAAGCAGAAGCCTCAGGCCCTGGCTACCGTCCCACCTGGCAGGAGCTGACGTGAAGCCTGGCCCGGCTCACCTAGCCCACCCCTCGCCTTTCTCGCCCTCGTTTGTGCCACCTTCCTGGCCAGCCACTGCAGCCTCTGCGGAAGGAGACTTGCCTCTGAGGGACTACTTAGAACAGTGCAGCGCCTGGGCCCAGCCCAGCCCAATGCTTGAGCCTTTGTTAAACAGTGAAGCCCCCAGAGAGAGAAGCAGAGGCATGAGCACCAGACCCTGAGCCGCCAGCCTGGTGGTCCGTGGGGGCATTAGAGGGCGACGCTGTGAGCGACTGAGCTCTCTGCTTAGCCTTTTCAAGGGTGGAACCTGGTGCCGGCCCCGATGCCACCTTCGATTCCTTTGTTTGGGGGGCAGCCGCCTCCAGACCCTGAGACCCAGGAGGCCGATCTGGCTACTCTCCCGGGTCCCCAGCCGGCGCAGCGCCTGCCCCACAGGAGCCGGCAGGAAGTGTACGTGGGATGAATATGAGCAAAGCGCATGGGGCACTGGGAAGAAACAAGGCTGCACCCCTCCCCCCATGCAGGTTGCTCCGAATTTTAACCATAAAGCAGACATTTAGTAGACACCAACTGCATACAGGTGCAGTGCTCAGTAGGGCAGAGGAGAAGAGAGAATCACGAGGCTGGGGCCCTGGGAGTGCGGGTCAGGGGCCGGGGCCCTGCGGTCATGTGGCCGCCACGGCCAGTCGAGGCCCCCTGCGTGGGTCCAGCCCTCTGGCCTCATTCACAGCCACATCCCATCTCACCCGGAGTCTGCTCCCAAAGCCTCTTCCTCTCCTGGTAACCTTCCTGCCTCTTGGTTCTGATGAAGACACTCCCCTACATCAGCCATCCCTGGCTCCTTCTACCTCCAGATGAAAATCCTACCACCCGACCCGGCCTTCAGGATCCTCCATCATCTCCCCCGACCAGCCCCTCCCCCGACCCATCTCTGATCCTCCATCATCTCTCTCTGACCAGCCCCTCCCCCTGGCGGATCTCTGATCCTCCATCATCTTCTCCGACCATTCCCTCCCCCTGGCTGATCTTTGCACCCTCCATCATCTCCCCCCACCAGCCCCTCCCCTTGGCTGATCTCCGCACCCTCCTCCTGCTCTCTAAGTCAAACGTGTTTTGGATATTCCCCAGACACACCCTGCACGCCCTGCCACTCTGCTTTGCTGGCACAGTTCCCTCTACCTGTGTACCCCTCCCCACACCCACACCTTGAAAGCTTATTTGTCCTACAAGACTCAACTCAAATACCCCTTCCCCATGCAGCTCCCTGACCTCCAGCTGGCAGCCAGTCATGCCTCCTGGCCCCGGGGTGCCCATCTGAGGACCTTGATGTGTCCTCTGAGCATGATTAGCCCCCCATGAGTCTGGGCACTCCTAGAGGCCAGGTCCCTCGGCAGTGTCTTCTCTGTCAGGAAGGGGCTGGCACCCAGGAGGTGCAAGTCTGCAAATTAGCCGAGTACGTGAACAAGAGAGAGCTATCGATGCAGTCCTTGCCTTTTGTTGCTTACCCTACACAGAAGAGGTGACATTGACTCGACACCCATTAATGAGTGCCCACCATAACCCAGGAACGAGGTCTGTAGTCCTGGGAGGAACACAAGATTCCTGCTCCCCTGGCCCATCAGGCGTCTAGCCAGCCTGTGAAGGTGTGAGCACAGATGCATGCCAAGACTCAGAGGCAGCCCTGAAGCGAGACCTTGCAGGGTGGGGCAGCATGTCTTGGGTTCCTGTGCATGGCACAGACACTGTGGAGGCAGGAGGTTCAGGCAGGAGGAGAGGCCCAGTGGCTTCATGGGGCTCTATCTGTTTCAGCTGCTCACCAAAGATGCAAAGCAGAGGCTGGGCTGCCAGGAGGAGGGGGCTGCAGAGGTCAAGAGACACCCCTTCTTCAGGAACATGAACTTCAAGCGCTTAGAAGCCGGGATGTTGGATCCTCCCTTCGTTCCAGACGTGAGTAGCACCCCCCAGCCCCCAGCAGCTCCCTTTGCAGGGTACCCAGGGCTGCCCCGCAATGCTGCTTCACAGTGAGCTGGTGCAGAGTGTGGGGCACATCGTGTCTTTGTGGGGACCAAAGAGTCCCCTCCCAGCCACTCCTTGCCTCAGCTGCAGATGAACTTCATGCCAGGCAGTGCAGAAGAGGCATGGGCCAGGGAGCCCACACTGGCTTCCAAAGACTTGGGCACTTTCGCGGGTCTGGGAGTCCTGGACAGATCCTTCTAAGCATTAGTTTCCTCCCTGACCAGTGAAGCCAGTAACACTCACGCCTCCCACCTGCCTGGGAGATTTGAGGGTGAAATGAGAACTGAATGGGGAATGCTTCCAAGAGCATTGAGGGCCACCACGTTCAGTTCAGCTTGACCAGCGTGCATGCATTGAGCACCTACTGTAGACGCCAGGTTCTGGGCCAGGCAGGAACAAAAGAGGCCCCTCCCCCAGCAGCTTACATTGCAGGGAGTCATGTCTTCCCAGGAGGTCCCCAGGGCCACCAGTCGGTGTGTGAGGCAAGATTCCTGCTGAGGTAGAATTGTCCTTGAAAGTCCCCTGCATGGTCAATAAATCGTGAGCTCTCAGCTGGATCAGAGGCCCAAGAGAGGCAGACCAGGCAGAGGCTGGGTGATCTGTGTGGGATACGAGCTGTGAATTCGGGGCCTGCTCTGTGTAAAGTCAGGGAGTCAGAAGCCAGGAAGGCCTGCTGTGTCTCAGCTCCTGCCACGCTCCCACAGATGACCCCTTGCTGACGGTGGGGGCTGGGCCGGGGCTGTGGAGGCCGTGGGAGCAGCGGTGTGCTGCAGGCGAATTACGTCATCTCCGGAGAGCTCATATGCACATCTCTTCCCAATTCCGTGTCCAGTGGCTTTGCGTCGGCAGCTTACAGTAGATCCCAGTGGTAGCATCTGCACAGCAGCAATTTGCAAATGGTACAAATCAGGGCCTCTGCATCCCCCTCCCCCAGAACCAGTGGTTATCACTTACCAGTACCGCCCTGAGTGGAGACAGGTGGGGACCGTGCTTGGAACTCTGGCACCCCCTGTAGGTGGGGTTCCCCTGGTCCTGTGGGACAGCAGCGGGCTTGGGAAGCTGCTGGGTGCAGATCAGTATCCATGGCAACCATACCACAGCCCCTGTCCGGCCAGGGATGGCATCAGTGTGATGGGTAATCAGGGAATGCTTTTTGGAGAAACACGGGGACCACTGAGAATGTAAAGAGTAGGGCAAGGCACGGTGGCTCATGCCTGTAATCCCAGCACTTGGGAAGGTTGAGGCAGTCGGATCACCTGAGGTTAGGAGTTCGAGACCAGCCTGACCAACATGGTGAAACCCCATCTCTACTAAAATACGAACATTAACCGGGCATGGTGGCACGCACATATAATCCCAGCTACTCAGGAGGCTGAGGCAGGAGAATCGCTTGAACCCAGGAGGCAGAGGTTGTAGTGAGCTGAGATTGCGCCACTGCACTCCAGCCTGGGCGATAGAGCGAGACTCCATCTCAAAAAAAAAAAAAAAAGCGAAAGTCACTGAATGCTGCAAACTCAATCTCCGGATGAGCTTGAGGAGGCAGGGGGAGAATGGTAATCACAGCATTGCTCTCGACCCTGGCTGCCTGGGGAACCGCGGGGGAGCATGAGCAACACTCGCCTTGGACCCAGCCCCCAGGGAGGCTGGGGTAAGACTTCGACTTCGGGAGTTTTGAAACCTCCCCAGCTGATCCTAGCGTGCAGCCGGGGTTGAGAGTCACTATTGTGAGAAGCACCACGTGCAGGGAGTGTGTTGTTTATTTGTTGTTTGTTTTTGGTGTCAAGGGCTTTGGGAGTGGCCACTCCTTGGTATTCCAGGAAACCACATAGCATGACTGCATGAACATCATGGTTGTGCCACTGGGCTGATGTCCGAAATTGGAGAGGATGTGGGCGCCCAGATTGGGGGTGTGGCAAAGGTTTGGAACCCGGGTGGCCATCCTTGTGGCCTCTGGGTTACCTGTTGCTATGGTGATGGGCTGAGATGAGTCATGGCATTGGAACTATTTCTCTACCTTCCAGCACACTCCAGGTCCCATGCCAGGCGCCAAGGGAGATCCCATGGCGCACAAAACGGTTGGTTGTTTCCTTCATGGAACTTCCAGTCTGAAAAGGAGGAGGGTTGTCAGCAAAACCCCTTAAATACAAGTAGAAATATGAGTCACAAGAGAAGAGAACAGGCAGCCTTAAGGAAGATTGGAGAGTAGCGGGGCCTCCGTGCGTGCACCCAGGCACGGCTGGAGAAGAGTGCTCTGGGCCCCAGAAGCAGCGTGTGGAAGGAGGCGGCCCTGAGGATCAGGGCGACTGACTGTCCTGCTTTGCCTGGGACTGTCCTGCTTTTAGCACAGAAAGTCCTGTGTCCTCGGGACACAGGGACAGTTGGTCACCCTGGGAGTGACGCTGGCCATCTCGAATCAGGGCATTAGGAGGATGAGGTAGCAGAGCCCCGCAAGGTGCACAGCCTGACAAGGCGCACAGAGCAGCCCGCCAGTGCCCTCCTCCCCCACCGTGTACCCTGTGGCCCAGGGCCTCTGTTCCTGGCATCTGAGGCCTCAGGTGAGCAAAGGCTGCAGGCCCTGGAGTGCGAAGTCGCTGTCAGCTGGGGACTTTGCCTTTTCCCCTCTGGCCCTCCCCAGGCTGCACGCCAGCCCCCCACGGTCGTCCCCGCCAGCCCCCGATGGTCGTCCCCGCCAGCCCCCGATGGTCGTCCCGGCCAGCCTCCACAGTTGTCCCCACACCACTGTCAGGGCTGCTGCCACATTCCTAAACCACAAGCGCTGTTAGTGACCTCATCTTTTTCACTTCCGTTGACACTTTTTAAAAATAAAAAACGTATTTTAAAAGGAAACCTTTCCAAGGAAATAATAGCCATGAAAGAGGGGTTTGGGTGTGCCAGATAACTTCCTGTTCCATTACAGATTTTTAAAATACACTCATTTCTTAACATTCCGCTGCAAGCCACCCAAGGCCAGTTTTGTGAGCTTGACCTGGGCACCCCCTAGGGCACCCTGGGCCCCACACCTGGCTCAGTGCCCTCTGTTGCCATCTTAAAATTTTAAATGTGGAACATGGGCCCTGCGTTTTCATTCTGCGCTGGCCGCGTGAATGATGTGGTCTTGCTTCCAGCTAAAAGTCTGCTGAGTTCCACGGTGGCGTGCACCCCGGGCTTTGGGCACTAGAGAAGGGTCGCTGCTCTGCACCCGGACACCCCTGCCCCCACCCCTGCTTCCGCCCACATGCACTTGGGCCCATGGTTTGCTCTGCTGGGTACAGCATGGCCTCGAGCCTTGAGCTGGAGACCAGAGCAGACCGGAGGGGAGAGTCCCAGAAAGTGCCGAGCCCTGAGACCATTGCTAGAACCTTCCTGGCATGGCGGAGCCCTCACTGAGCCGGTGCACTGATTCACAACCTTCGAATTAGCCAAATGTCAGGAGACTGTGAGCAGGAGGTAGCCTCTACCCTCCAGCGACAGATGTGTCACCAGGTCTGGGGATCCCTTGGCACCCCACCTGGGACCGTCTGTGTAAAGGCCTCATCTCCAGAGCCTCTGGGAAGCCTCCCCGCACCAACCTTGAACTCTTAGAGGGCAAGGTCCACCCAGGTTCATCTCTGCCCTGGCATAGAGCAGGCCCCCAGTGCACAGTTGAGGGATGAGTAAGGTAAAAGATATGCCCTGGTACAATAATAATACCAGCTCCCAGTTACGGGCGCCAGGCTCGGTGGCCAGCACTGACAGCAGCCCCGTCGCGTAGGTACCTCGTTGTCCCCATTTTGCCGGTAAGGAAACAGGACACAGGCCTCAGGGGATATGAGACTTCCCCACAGTTCATAAGCCCCACTGCTGGGACTCCATCCCACGTCTGTCCTGTACTGGTAAGGGAGCGATGGCAAAAGAAGCCCTGGACTGGGCACCCAGGTGCCCTGAACTCTTGTGTCACCCCTGCCAGGGTCCCCTTCATGGATCTGAGAGAGGGCTGCACTCCCACCTGGAGGGGTCGCGCAAAACAAAACCACAGGCCATCATCCGAGATGAACAGGAAGCCCAGCCAAGCCACTGGGGCCAACCCCTCCCCTGGACTCACCTGCCCCTGAGCCACACGCCCTCCAGCCACCACCCGCAGCAGTTCTGGGGGTGGGTCCTGGGAAGACTCCCCTCTGCTCCCCCGTTAAAACTCCAAGGCCTGAGCTTGGGGCCACTGGAGCCGCAGGCAGGACACATGTGTGACCAGCCCTGTACCCCTGGCAGCCCCGCGCTGTGTACTGTAAGGACGTGCTGGACATCGAGCAGTTCTCCACTGTGAAGGGCGTCAATCTGGACCACACAGATGACGACTTCTACTCCAAGTTCTCCACGGGTTCTGTGTCCATCCCATGGCAAAATGAGGTGAGCGGGGCAGGCCCCTTGCTTGGCGCTGGTTGGGAGGGAGGGACTAATAGGGGGAGGGAGGCGTCAGGAATATAAGTTTGGCGGCAGGAGGATAAGCGCGTGGTTTCTGTTTTCTCCATGAAGGCAGCACATGAAAGCTGTCAGTGGCCAGGCAGGGAGCTGTGGCCACCACGGGCCAGTCATTGAGGGGGACCCTCGCCCAGCCCCCGAGACCTGGAAGGGTTGTGGTTCAGGGGCAGGTGAGGCCAGGGGAGGGGTCAGCCCCAGTGGCTCTGCTGCTGGGCTTCCTGACCACCCCAGGTGACGGCCTGTGTTTTTTTCTCACGGCCCCTCCAGATGATAGAAACAGAATGCTTTAAGGAGCTGAACGTGTTTGGACCTAATGGTACCCTCTCGCCAGACCTGAACAGAAATCACCCTCCGGAACCGCCAAAGAAAGGGCTGCTCCAGAGAATCTTCAAGCGTCAGGTGAGACACCTGTGCCTGGCGAGTCCTGGCATCAGCCCCGAGACCCCTGGCTCGCTTCCATGGGAAACCAGCAGACCCCCAGGAGAGACCCTCTGAGGACTCAGGCGTCTGGGGCAGTAGCAGCCTGGAGGGTAACTGATATGTCTGAGGCCCTGACACCCACTGCAGCTGATGGGATCCCCACGGCAGAAGGGCAGAGCCAGCCCAAATTCACCCTCCCTGTGGGTTTCTCCACCTTGACACTATTGGCACCTGGGGCCAGTTAATTCCTTGTCACGGGGCTGTCCTGTGCATCACAAGATTTGAGACAGCAAGCTTGGCCTCCAGCCACCAGATGCAGCAACACCCCATTCCCCAGTCATGACAGCCCATAAAGGCGCCAGACACTGCTGAATGTCCTTGGGGGCACAGTCACCCCTGGTTGAGAACCGCTGCCCCCTCTGGTCCTTATGAAGCCTCAGTCATGTAAAGACTGAACATCATAAGCTCAGGGAGAACTGGGGGTAGAGGCTGACCCTGCAGAAGCTTCCGGCTCCTGGGATGGCCCCCATCCAATGCTGTGCCCTCTAGCGACAGTCAGAGCCTGGCCCTAGGTAAGGGCTGGTGTGAGCCAGTGGAGGAAATGCTGGGGAAGGGCCCCCACCTCACCCCACACCATGAAGGGGGCCACCATACACCCCGTCTTGGCCTGGCCCTGGAGGAAGCTGTGGCCCGGTGTGCCCATCCTGGAGCCTGGGAGGTTCCCCCACCTAGTTCTGCTCCTTCCTTCTCCCGCCAAAGAGCCAGCTCCAGGATAGGCACACTAGGCCAGTGATAATATAAAAATACAACACTTCAGTGCTTCCATCAAATAAAATGGAAGTTCCAGAAAGAATGACCTCTCCCTCCCCTCAGGGCCGGGCGCACTAAGAACACCCTGGGTCGTAGAAAGAGAAATTACCATGTAGTCTCACAGACCTGGGTTCAAACCCAGCCCTGACACTTCTTGCTTATGTGGAAACTTATGGAACCTCTCCCGCCTCAGTTTGCCTGCCTGAAACATCAGGATAGAAATGCCTGCTGCCTAGAGCCATGGGTGGCAGCCCTTAGCACGGCGCAGGCACCAGCACCTGTGAAGCAAACGTTCCTTGCCTCCCTCCTCCTCCCCTCTGCAACATGGAGGGCCCAGCACCCACGGGATGCAGAGGGAGGGCCCGAGGAATGGACACGACCGCCCATCTTTCCCAGGTGGGCCCTCGTAGAGCCCTTTGCATACGAGGCCCCATTGTATCCTCCCAGCCACCCTTTGCGGAAGCTGCTCTTCTTGGGTGTTACAGGAGAGGAAACTGGGAGATGGAATTGCATGCCCAAGGCCACTCTGCGAGGGAGGGGCAAACTGAGAATTCCAGCCCAGGCAGTGTAACCCTGGGCCTGCAGGCGTAACCAAGGTGGATATTATGGGGGGGCCGCCTCCACCCTGATTGGAGGTTCTGTTAATTCCTTGGCTCTTCCCATTTACCAGATAAAGCCCTGTGCCTCCAGGGACGGCCCTTGCACCTGGCTCTGAGGGGAGACTTCCAAAGGCCATAAAAAGCAAGGGTTAGAGCTGATGGAGGCAGCCCCTGACCCATCGCCAGGGCTCCCAGGACTGACTGCTGTTCTCTCCATCCCGTCTCCCCCAACCCCAACCCCAGCATCAGAACAATTCCAAGAGTTCGCCCAGCTCCAAGACCAATTTTAACCACCACATAAACTCAAACCACGTCAGCTCGAACTCCACCGGAAGCAGCTAGTTCCGGCTCTGGAAGTCCACAGTGGAACCAGCGCAGACCTTCTCCTTAGAAGCGGAAGTACTGGAGCTTCTGCTCTGGTGGGGCTGCCAGGGGAGCCCCCCAGGAGCCGGGGAAGGAGGCCGTCCGTCCCGTCGACGTAGAACCTCGAGGTTTCTCAAGGAAATTTCCACTCAGGTCTGTTTTCCGAGGTGGCCCCGGCCGGGGTGGATTGGATTTGTCTTTGGTGAACATTGCAATAGAAATCCAATTGGATACGACAACTTGCACGTATTTTAATAGCGTCATAACTAGAACTGAATTTTGTCTTTATGATTTTTAAAGAAAAGTTTTGTAAATTTCTCTACTGTCTCAGTTTACATTTTGTATATTTGTATTTAAAGAAAGTGAGATTTGAGGGTGTATATTTTCTGTGCAGCCACTGTTAACCCATGTGTTCCAAGGCATTTTAGTGGGGAGGGGTTTACCAAAAAAAAAAAAAAAAAAATGTGACTCAAGACTTCCAGAGCCTCAAATGAGAAAATGTCTTTATTAAATGTAGAAAGTGATTCACACTTCACCTTTAAAGGATTGCTTGTATTTGCCCACATCTATCCCTGGAGCTGTTTCCTCACATTGGTATCACCCTTCTGTCGGCTTGGAACGATCTGAATTAAATGTTCCAGACACACGTGGGACTTCTACCTCCCAGCCAGAATGTCCTCTCCTGGGGCCCTCGGAGTCGTCTGGGCTGAGCCCTTCTCCTCGAGGGGCACGCCGAGCCACCGTTGCACCCACCTCTGTCTGTTCTTCCTCCAGGAAGCGGCTGCGCGCAGATCCAGATGTTTACAGCCGGGGGGGCGATGGGCCTCTTTCCTCCTAAGCAGGTCCTGACTGCTAAAGCCAGTTGTTTTCAAGAGGCTGGCATTGGGGGATTTTTGTTCTATTTTTAACAGAAGCATAGGATCGTAAAGATTCGTCAGGAAACCCCAAGTGTCCCAAAGCCTCGGGGCCCGTGGGAGCATTGGAAGGTGAGTCCGCACGCTCATCCTAATGGAGCACCGCTGAGTCTGTAGCAGGGAGGGAGGTTGGCCCAGGGACCCGGTGTGTCCCTGAAGCGTTCACAGGGTTTCGAGACCTTCACAGCCCCATCAATGTGCTGGCCCCCATGGCACGGATGGGGCAGTCTCTCCGGGCAAACGAGAGGCTCAAGGAGAGACCGGGCCATCAGAGAGCTCAAGACAAAGTCACCCAGGAAGGTGGGCAGAGGCAAGATCTATTGGACACTTCAAAGTTTCAGGCGGGAGCTCCCAGAGGACTTGGTGGCTTTGCCAGCCCAGGGGACTCTGAAGGCAGCTCTCAGACCCTTGTAGCAGGGCTGTCCATCCCCAGGGAGCAGCTGGCCACCTCCTACTGCCTCCATGAAGTGACCAGGAGCCAGTCTGCTCCCACCTCCCGTCCAGGACAGGGTGAACATATGATCTCACTGTCCCCTGCCTGGCTGAGTCCCTGGTATCTGACTCTGCCACCCAGCAGCTGCCAGGGTCTCTCATCATGTGGACCCTGCCCTAGCTGCACCTGCACCTCCTGTCAAAGTGCGGACTCACAGGCTCCACCCCAAACCACAGAATGGGAATGCCTGGGAGTGGGGCCTAGGAACCTGCATCTTGTAAAAGCTCATCAGATCACTCTGATGACCCTGGAGTGTGAGCACCCCTGCTGTGGCCATCAGCAGGGCTTTGGGGGTGCTCATCCCAAACACATTTCTCTGGGTGACGCAGGCAGCATTGGAGCATGAGTCGTGAGGAGGACAGTCGTGAGCACACCAGCCATGAGGCCCGGTTTCCATGCCTTCCCCCCGGACTCTACCCCTGGGTCCTGGGGTGTGCCTCTGAAAGAGTCCTGGCCTTTGGGACTGATCATTTTGAGGTCCTTTTACAAAGAAATGGGGGAGAAGAATTAGCTAATTCTTCTTTTTAATGTGCAGTATTTTTTTTTGTTCAAGAGCAGCTCTTGTTTTATGAGGCTCCTTCCATTACCTTTCTTGGGCTGAATACAAAACAAATACAGCCATATTCAAGTTTTCCAAGGAAGTGGAAAGCTCTTTGAATGGTATTTTAAGATCCCTAAGCTCTTGCTGAACTTCCTTTATCAATGAAAAGAAGGACCGTCGTCCTAGGACGGTCACCAGCCCCAGCCACCACCCCAGCCACCCATCCAGGAGGTGGGTTCCTTTTGCCCGGTTCACAGCAGCTCAGTCCTCACCAAATGGATTCTTGGTGTTGGAAAGCAGCCTCTTTTTATTCCTGAAAACCAGTGCCCTGCCCGTTTGCAGGAGAGAATCCCCAAGGAGCAAGAAAGATGACAGAAGTGTGGCTGCCATGTTTCTAGGTCACGAGAGCTCTGGTGGTACTATCACAAGGCCTGTGCATGGGTTCTGTGATAACTTCAGTCTTCCATCATGTTCACCACCAGCCCTCCCTGAGTGCCCAGAGGAGATGGGGGCAGAGTCACTTGGCCTGTTAAAGCCTCCTGTTCCTTCTGGCTCATGCATTGCTTTGTGGCAAGAGAAAGGAAGTCTTTAGACCAGTGCCTTCTCCCTACTAAGTCCTCAGTCCTGTCCCTTCCCCTCCTCCAACCTTGTTTTCTATAGCCACTTTTTTTTTTTTTTTTTTTTTGAGACAAGATATTGTGTTGCCTAGGCTGAAGTGCAGTGGCATGATCCTGGCTCACTGCAGCCTTGAACTCCTGGGCCCAAGCTGTCCTCCTGCCTCAGCCTCCCAGGTAGCAGGGACCATAGGCGTGCACCACCATACTCAGCTAATTTTTAAAATTCTTTTGTAGAGACGGGGGTCTTACCATGTTGCCCAGACTGGCCTCGAACTCCTGGACCCAAGCTGTCCTCCTGCCTCAACCTCCCAAAGTGCTGAGATTATAGGCATGAGCCACTGTCCCTGGCCTATAGCGGTCATTTTTTAAAAAGGTATTTTAAAATTAAAAGCAAACAACATCTTCCGCCCATCCACCTGTCCAGGATAAGGCATATTTGGACAGTGAACAGATTGAACTCTCTTGAATGCATTTGAGCTCTTCACCGAAGAGCCTTTCTTGCTCCAGGCATGACATTGTTTTCACCAGATGTTCACTGACTTCGTGCCTTTGAGGTGAGACATGGGGTCTCTTAGAAGCGTCTCTGCATCTGCATTTCAGGAGATGAGCTGCTGTCCCTGGTGGACAGAGGCGGCCTCTGTCATGGTCACCATGATGACCTACAAGTGTTTATTGAGTCCCTTGGGGCACCCAGAATACCACCCAGAATAGCAAGAAGACCCAGTCCCCGCCTTGCAGAGGATGCACTCACACCCCACAGCAACCCATTCTCGCCTCTTCCTTGGCCAGGAACCCAGGGCTCCAGGACTGCCCGCTGTTGCTGTGTCCTGCACAGCCACAGGAGGCTTCCTGAAATGCATTGCTCGGAGGCGGGAGCGGGGAGGCCTGGCCTGCCCCACAGACACAGCTGTGCAGCCTGGGTCGTACACACATCGGCAAGCAGCTGCTGAGACAAATAGTGGTGGGAAGTCCTGGGGACACACAGCCTTTGCATTGACAGCATAGTAGGATCAGAGCCCAGGTGAGCCCCTGAGGATACCAAGGCCTTCCCTTCCTGAAGCCGGGAAATCTCCATGCCTCTCGTAGGAGCCTGGCCCCACTGTAGAAATCCCTCCTCTTCCTCCACACCCTGTCCTTTCCCCAAAGCCTCGGTTGTCAGTTCCAGCTACCCATCGACTTCCCCACTGAGCCGCTGCCCTCAAAACAGAGGGGGCACTGCAACCTCCTTGAGCCTGGCATCCCAGGCCTTGCCAAAGGGGACGGTGGCTTCCTGGATAATCAGAAATCTCTGAGAAAAAGAAGAAACGCCTGAGTGACACTCAGCTGTCCTCTGAGGTCCCCTGGTGTGCATGCACATCCTTCTGAATACCTGTATTTCCAAGAGGTGGTCTCCTGTTTTCATAACCCGACACTCTGAGATGGGATCTTCGAACTTTTTAGCCCTGGCTGTGGAAAGAGAGTGAGTATGAAGTCTTTGTGCATTTGGAAGTGACATCGCTGTGTGAATTATGAACACAGAGAGCTTCCATCTTCCTGATCACAATAGACCGCGATCGCGAAGCCTCCTCTCCCAGCAACCCCTTCTACACCTGCCCTCCCCACCCACCACCCAGCTGTTGAAGCTCAGCGTGTGCAAGTCAGACCCTGCACAGGCCGGGGGTGTCTCACCTGGCCTAAACGTAAAGGCTTGTGCCGGAGACAGTGATTGAAAACATTTGAAAAGCCAGCTCTCCCTGGCAGAGAAAGACACTTCCCCCGAAGTGGAATCTAGACGTCTTTCCCCAGTCCATCAAGAAGTCATTTTTGTAACAGTCCCTAAGCAAGTGTTCTCAATTAGAAGAGTTTAGAGGCTGTTGGTGTTGTTAAATAATAATAATCCTTCTCGCATCCAAAACTTTCTAATTTTTTTCAGGGAGATTTGGACATTAATGAATGGAAACTTCCATGGTGGTGGTCACTCCTGAAGGCAGCGGCTTCCATTCTCCCACTGCTCTAACTCTGTGTGTTCCGTCTACCATGTCACAGTGCCGCTGGATCTAGATGGAACCACTCTTGTTGTTTTTAAGAGAAATAAATTCCTTAATTGAAATAGCATGGCATCTCTCTCCTGCTGCTGAGCTCTTGTTCTGTTTCTTCTGCATACGACAGCTGTCCCCAAGATACCTGTGGCCTTTGGGTTAACCCTTTCCTAAGGTTGACAGTGGAACCCACCCAAACCCGGACCCCACACCGACCACCCCCTGAACTACCCACAGATGGCCCAGCTCCAGTGGGCAGGGCCCAAGAAAACCTGAATTCTTACCAAGCCATTGGCTTCTGATCTCAAGCCCAGCCCAGCAAATGGTTCTAGAAGTGCTCCGGCCACTTGGCACCGAGGAGGAGCTGGGCGACAAGGGCTCGAGTCAGTGCCAGCACCATGACACCAAACGGCGCATTTGTAGGTCCCACCTGCCCGGTTTTATGCAGAAGAGGCAGGCTCTGCAGAGGGGACCATTCTGGCTGTCCAGGCTTCACCGTGCCAGGCACGTGCTGGAACATGGAGCAGCCAGTGAGGCCCAGCGGCCCTTGCACTTTGGAACGGGGATTCCCGAACTGGGACCCAAGACCTCTTCTGTCTCCCTCCACCTGCTCGCCTTAGCTGTTAGAATGAACAGGGCTTACTCTGAGATGTTTATGTTTAAAATAAAGGTAAAAATTTTTTTAAAAAACCAATAAATAGAATGAGCAGGGCTTGGACTCAGCCGACACCCTACTAATGATATCACCTTAAACAGGCCACTCTGAGCCTCGGTGTCTTCATCTGTAAATGGGATCACACCTCAGTGATGGGGCTGCTGGAGGATTCAGTGGGAACTCGTGTGCCACCTAGCACAGAGACCTTGGCTTTGAGCAGGGGCCTGGCCTTGACCTCACACTCATTCACACCCAGCCCTGTCTGGAGCCACACTGCAGCCAGGCCTGGAGCCTGGGGAAGAATCTGCTTACTGGGGGACCCTGTGGAATTGGACAGAGAGAAAGAGGGGCCGGCTGGCAGTGAGGGCGGGATGAGGAAGGGGCTCTCCCAGGATGGAAGAATGGAGGGAACTCATGGCCGAGGATTTGCCGACCATGTGGGAAGCCTTCAAGGGCAGAAGACACAGTAGTGGAGCAGGAAATGCTCTGATCTCAGAACAGGGACGGGGAGGATCTCCCCTCAGGGCCCAGCTGTGTCTCTGGGGCTTTCACCACTCCAGAACCTCCACTGCTCAAGCCAGCCTCCAGGCAGACAGAAGCTGCCGTCTCTCCTGGGACAGGCAGGGTGTCAGCGGGAGAAACTCCAGCCACATGACTCCAGCCCCGCTCACCATTTACACTGCCCTGCCCAGCAGCTTTGGCCCCTTCCCAGGCAGATGGAGTGGGCTGGGCAGGAGGAGCACCTACCTCTCACCTCCACACCTTTCAGGCCATGCCCATCCTGTGCACACCAGACAACTGTGGATTTGGTGGGGGGATCAAAAGAGCCTCCATCTAACTCATTTTCAGGAAAGGCTCAAGGCCATCATCCCCAGGCCCCAGAGAGCTCCAGGCCAGAAACCCTCTGGGAGGTGGTCCTTAAGGCCGTTGGGATCCACCTGCCATCCCCAGAGACCATGAAGAGGAGGGAGAACTGGGGCCCTGGGAATAGACCCTTGAGCCACAGCATGGCAGGGCTCCTGGTACCACTTTGCCCAGAAGTTCGCCAAGCCAAACATTGCCCAGGCATGGGCCAGTCGTCATGGGGACTTGGCTTGGCTGTCTTGGGGGAAAAAGCAGGAAAAACCCATTTAGCAGGCCATGGGGTGAGTTCTAGCGTTTGCACTCTAGAGGCATCAACTACTGGCAGGTAAACCAGAAGGCGCAGAAGGCAGCACCTTTCACGCTTGAGGAGTTCTGACCCACTTGGCATTTTGATAAACTAGAATCTGATTCGGCGGGTCTGGGGTAGGGGACAGTCTGCACTTCTAAGTACTCCTGGGTGAAGCCACTGGTCCTCAGACAACACTTTGAGTAGAGAGGCCTTAGAAAGCCCCAAACCCGGTCAGGCACCGTTTCTCATGCCTAATCCCAGCACTTTGGGAGGCCAAGGTGGGCAGGTCACCTGAGGTCAGGAGTTCGGGACCAGCCTGGCCACCATAGTGGAATCCCGACTCTACTAAAACTACAAAACTTAGCTGGGTGTGGTGACATGCACCTGTAACCCCAGCTACTCGGGAAGCTGAGGCAGGAGAATCCCTTGAACCCGGGAGGCGGAGGTTGCAGTGATCCAAGATTACATCACTGCATTCCAGCCTGGGGGACAGAGTGAGACTTTGTCCCAAAAAAAAAAAAAAAAGAAAAAGAAAAAAAGAAAGAAAGCCCCAAACCGGAATGGCAGGCTGGGTCTATAGTCAAACCAGGTCCTGCATTCTGTGGTACAGAAGTTTTATTAATACTCACCAACATTTGCCGTGCCCTTGAGGAGAGCTGATACCAGTAGTTTTCAAAGTCTGACACCCTCACGCCTACAGGCAGCAGCAGGAGCCCTGTGAACTTCTGAGAGATCCAGATTCCTGCTCCCTGTGCCAAGCCTATTGAGTTAGGAGTCTGGGTGGGCTCTATGAACAGGACCCCCAGGTGACAGGTGCACACTCCAGTTTGAGGCCCACTGGTTTACAAAGCGCTTTCATCTCATCGAGAACCCTTAGGGCAAAGCAGCCACTGGTCTCCTCGCTGACGGCTTTTCAGAGTCACAGAGGACTGAAGAGGGCGAGGCTCTTACCTGCAAATGGAAGCAGGTGGGTACAATTGGCTACCACTGTTCTTAAACAAAAGGAAAGAGGATACAACATAGAATCCTACTGTCGAATTTTTAATGAAGAGATAAACCAAGAAAAGGAAAAAAGTTTCCTAGAGGGAGAAGGAAGCCACCAGGGGAAGAGAGTGGGAGATAGATATAAAAGCCCGTCTGCTCAGAAATGTGTCTTGTCTTGTAGATTTGACTTTGCAAGCACGTGTCAAATAAAACACAAATCCAGACCCAGTGGGGAGAGACCTATTTGAAAGATTTTTGCAGGGGAGGAAAGTGGCTACTGCAACAGGGGCTGGGATGGAGACCACTGCAAAATGGAGAAGGCTTTACCATGCCATCTGCAAGGGTCTTGAGGGTTAGGTGGAAAGACGATCTCTTCTGTAGAGAGAACAAGGCTAGAAAGAGTCAGGTGTGGAAAGTGGGATGAAAGGGTGATATGATCAGATAAATAGATCAGAACATGTCACCCTGAGGCGGTCTCTGCTCTGGAGGGACCTGCCTGCAGGCTCAGGCTGAAAGTTGGTTAAAGTTCAGGGTCCAGGAGGAAGGAGTGAAACTTACCTAAGTCTGGCTAGTAAGCATTTTGTTTCCATGGATCAGTGGGAACAGGCCATTCAGCTAATCATTTATGAGGCAAAGAATGGAAATCTGGAGGGTCTGTGACTGGCCTTTCGTAGATAAATAAGGGGGACATCCCTGGGCCTTATGGAAGTCTGATGTGGTTGGCTATGTCTCCACCCAAATCTCAAATAGTAATTCCCATAATTCCCGCATGTTGTGGGAGGGACCAGTGGGAGGTAATTGAATCATGGGGTCAGGTCTTTCCCATGCTGTTCTCATGATAGTGAATAAGTCTCATGAGATCTGATGGTTTTATAAAGGGGAGTTCCCCTGCACACACTCTCCCTTGCCTGCCACCATGTAAGACATGCCTTTGCTCTTCCTTTGCCTTCCACCATGATTGTGAGGCCTCCCCAGCCACGTGGAACTGTGAGTCCATTGAACCTCTTTCCTTTATAAATTACCCAGTCTTGGGTATGTCTTTATTAACCGCATGAGAACAGACTAATGCAAAGTCATATGGGGAAAGGTGGTTTTTTGTGCATGTTGTTTTCCTGGACAACAAAAGTGTGAGGATAATCTCTTGTTTTGGCTTTTTGTTGTTGTTTTGTTTTGCTTTATGAGACAGGGTCTTACTCTGTCACCCAGGCTGGGGTGCAGTGGTGCAATCATGGCTCACTGCAACCTCTAACTCCTGGGCTCAAGCAATCCTTCCACTTCAGCCTCCAGAGTAGCTAGGATTACAGCTGTGTCCAACCATCCCCAGCTAACTTTTTAAAGTTTTTTGCAGAACTGGGATCTCATTATCTTACCCAGGCTGGTCTTGAACTCCTGGCCTCAAGGGATCCTCCTGCCTCAGCCTCCCAAAGTGCTGTGATTACAGATTGAGCCATGGCACCTGGCAGGGGGAATTCCTTTAACCTTCACTGTTTTCCAGGAGCACTGGGCTCAAGTAAAATTCAATATTGTCATATGTAAATGTTTTTGATAATTGTAAAACAAAACTAGAAAGTTTTTATAGCAGCCCCTATAAACCAAAAGACAAATGGAACAAACAAATCTGTTCATATGCAGGTGGTGGTATAATCACACAGAGACCATCCCCAAGTGACTTTAAGGCACTGAAATGTGACTGTAGGTTCCCTCTATGTCTGCCCTAAAGACAAAAAGAGCTGCCAAAAAAGTCTTAAGCCATTTTCAGTACACACATTGTCAGTAATAACGTCGATGTTATCCTCAACTAATGTATATTATAGGGCAAAACATGTAATTCTGTTAATGTGATTAAGAGCAAAATTTTTCAACGTAAGAAAAAAAATAAAATAAAATAACATCAAAGAAGAAAAGCCTTTTAATCCAACCCAAAATAAGCTTTCTCTTTATAAAATAGGCATCCATGAGAATTTTGGCTCCTGGAGACACCATTGTCTCCCCGTGAGTGTTCAGGACTCTTTCTTGGCCACAGGAGATGGAGGAGTACTGGACTTGGATGACGGGGGAGGTTCCTCCAAGTTCCAACAGTCTACCAGACTTCATTCAGTCTGCAGCTCATTCTGTCTTTGCCTCCCTTTTATTTTCTTTTTGATATAGAATTGGCTGGGTGCAGTGGCTCACACCTGCAATCCCAGCACTTTGGGAGGCCCGGACGGGTGGATCACGAGGTTAAGAGTTCGAGACCAGCCTCACCAACATGGTGAAAACCCATCTCTACTAAAAATACAAAAAT